GAAAACACATACATAAAACCATCTTGAATTAAAAATTGGCAACCCTCCTCTTGAGGTGGTTCTTGACCTTAGTTTTATTTGCTGTTTTGCTCTTGCAGGTTTTTCTTATCTTCTGAAGGTGGTAACTTTTGCCCATATCTACATTAGTCACTATCTTGAGGGTCTTTTCCCCAAATTGTAACCTCTTCATGGATGCAAATGAAGCAAAATAATTTCATCTGTGATCTGTCTGCTCATCTTCTGAAACCTTTCCTCATTACTTGTTTGCAATAGTTTTATTGTGGTCATTAAATAAAAGAAAGCTTCCTATATCTCATGTTTTGTTACACTTCAGCAAATAACTGGTTGAAATGAGTCGTTCTGCTTTTCTGTTCCAGGTTCAGGGTGTTCTGTGCTGAAGGGGAGTTGATATGTGTGTAAGGATAACATGCATGGGTTATAAAAAGAAGGTGACACATACTTGTCATTATAATAGCTACTTAATTGTTTGGCACTGACTATTACTGTTGACATGAGAAAACAAGCAAAGCATAACCACCACCAACCATCATCATTGCCTAGTTCTCCAAGATCAAAGCAAGGAGATATGTCGGCTGTATTATAATAGCTCCAGATGACTGGAGCAGGTATTCTAAGGCATGTGTCCAACAGTCAGGTCATGTATCCATAGCAGTGACCAGGGGAGGAATGACCTCTGGGAGAAGGAATGCCATGGTGCATCTGCAGCAGCACAACCGGACACCTTCACCTGCCCCAGCTGCCACAAAACATGTCTCTCCTGTATCAGTCTCTACAGCCTCAGCAGGTGCTGCAACCTTCCAACGGTTTGGCTTCACCTCCAAAGGATGTCAACAACAAATGCTACAATGGAAAGCAAGAAAGCCCAAGATCAATTTGTAGAATAAGGGTTGCTATATTTTGAGGAGCAAAAAGGAGGACGCTATGATGACTCTCATTTTAAATACCACTACTATATGTAGGGTATAGAAGCTGTGATATATTGCTGAGGGGAACGGGAGCAGAGAATAGGAAAGCAAGTCTTCAACCACCAGTTATGTCTATGTCTCATCCAGAAAGTATAACCAGAGACATTTTGGCAGATTTAAAAAATCCACCCAGACAGACATTTTATCCGTGAAAAAGAGGTCGTGTCCTGGAAAAAGAGGACACTGGCAGCCCTAGAATAGTGTTGCCAGATAAAGAGCAAATTTCCACAGTAAATTAAGATGAACAAGGTAAACTTGGCAAGAACTTAGGTTCTAGCTTAACATAGTAGTTAATGGAAGAACATTTCTCTTTCAGTGTGAATTTATTGGCTCAGTTCTCACGTCACCATAAACTGTAGTTAATGGATTACCATGAAAATGTTGGGGTGTTTTGTTCCTTTCTGCTCATGCTGTGGATAAACAAGCCATGATTTTTTGTCTGAACATTATGCCTGAAATAAGGATCATGACTATGGTGTCTGACCACAATCTGACCTGGTTTGGACATAATGCTTCGACAGGGATCATGACTTGTATTTTCCAAGTGCGACTTGGGAGAAGTGGGGCAGAGTGAAGTAGAAGTCATTTGCTTGCGCTCAGCATGCTATGATTTATGGCTTACCATGACATGCAAACAAGGTCACTGAAATATACCATTCCTCATCATTAACAGTACCTTCAGCAAAAGTATTTTCTTGTATTCACTTACTTGCAGGCAACTCTGAGAGCAATTTTGGCAGGTATAGAGATAAAAAACAGGCAAAGGTGAGGAATTGAGCCTTCAAATCCACCTTTTTTGCTTTCTAAAAGATTATGTATAGATTTAATACAATGTATATTAAAAATATAATACATATAATGACATACTACATTTTGATGCTAACATATTAATGCCTAGTTCATTATTTGTTTGTTTGTTTCATAGAATTTATACATCGCTTGAAAAAAACCCTCAAACCTATTTACAAAAAACAATAAAATCAGGGGAAAGTTATAATACTTTTAAAAAACAATATGCACATAATTCTTCATCTGATTTTGTTTTATGACCCTTTTCTCTAGATACACAAGCATATTTTTGCTGAATCTATTTAGTGAACAAACAATGTTCATTCCTAAGCAGTAGGGATCTTATTTTTATTCATAGAAGGAATGGGATGAAAAAACAGAAACAAAATTAGCTTTCCCACTAGAGACAAAGTGTTTTGTGTTTTTGGGAAGAGATTACAGAGCATTGTTGGACCAAGGTATACATAGCAATGTTTTATAAACATTGGGGTGCTGGAATCTGTATAAAAATTATGGAAACGGAGTGCTCTGACACTAGAAGCATCCATTGTGTTCCACAGAGCAGTCTGGATTAAAAGAGGGACCAGACTGTAATTAATAGAATGCATTGATGGATAACTGCCTGGTCATTCTTTGGTCATGCTTTTCAACATCTACATGCAGCCGCTGGGAGAGATCATCAGGGGGTTTGGGCTGGGTGTTCATCAGTATGCGGATGATACCCAGCTCTACCTCTCTTTCAAATCAGAACCAGTGAAGGCGGTGAAGGTCCTGTGTGAGTGTCTGGAGGCGGTTGGAGGATGGATGGCGGCTAACAGATTGAGGTTGAATCCTGACAAGACAGAAGTACTGTTTTTGGTGGACAGGAGGCAGGCAGGTGTGGAGGACTCCCTGGTCCTGAATGGGGTAACTGTGCCCCTTAAGGACCAGGTGCGCAGCCTGGGAGTCATTTTGGACTCACAGCTGTCCATGGAGGCACAGGTCAAATCTGTGTCCAGGGCAGCTGTTTGCCAGCTCCATCTAGTACGCAGGCTGAGACCCTATCTGCCTGCGGACTGCCTCGCCAGAGTGGTGCATGCTCTGGTTATCTCCCACTTGGACTACTGCAATGCGCTCTACGTGGGGCTACCTTTGAAGGTGACCCGGAAACTACAACTAATCCAGAACACGGCAGCTAAACTGGTGACTGGGAGCGGCCGCTGAGACCACATAACACTGGTCTTGAAAGACCTACATTGGCTCCCAGTATGTTTCTGGGCACAATTCAAAGTGTTGGTGCTGACCTTTAAAGCCCTAAATGGCCTCGGTCCAGTATATCTGAAGGAACATCTCCACCCCCATCATTCTACCCAGACACTGAGGTCCAGCACCAAGGGCCTTCTGGCGGTTCCCTCACTGCGAGAAGCTAAGTTACAGGGAACCAGGCAGAGGGCATTCTCGGTAGTGGCGCCCTCCCACCAGATGTCAAAGAGAACAACCACTACCAGACTTTTAGAAGACATTTGAAGGCAGCCCTGTTTAGGGAAGCTTTTAATGTTTGATGTATTACAGTATTTTAATATTTTGTTGGAAGCCGCCCAGAGTGGCTGGGGAAGCCCAGCCAGATGGGCGGGGTATAAATAAATTATTATTATTATTATTATTATTATTATTATTATTATTATTCCACCCCTTATCCTCTAACTTCCATGACCAGAGCCCTATATGCCCTACCAACTCTGGGCATTGCAGTTTACCCCATCCCAGAGCTATAGTTCCCAGCCACCCTTAGCTCAGCAAACCTCAGAATTCTTTGGGGGGGGGATACACTTTGGATATGCTCTTAAATATGCAGTGTGTATGTAACCTTACTTTCAGTTCATACAATGTGGTTCCACACCCCCTCACTGGCATATCACCTAAAAAGCTACCTCATCACTTTTCTTACTCTAATGCTACTGAGCATGTTCAGTAGAAGCAACTGAAGCCCCACTTCGGCCCTACAGTGAGAATAAGATATCTGCTGTTGCCGCCACATCCTGCTCCTTCAGCTGGTAGTCTGGTGGAGGGTTGCGGCCTCCTGCTCATTCAGTGCACATCCCAGCAGGACACAGCATAATTTTTCCTTGCTATACCAGACCTCTTAGTGATCTTTTGGACCCCAAATCCACAGGAGTGGCAAAAGCCTAAGCAGGTGAAAGCATAGTGGGGCGGACAACAAGATTCAGAGACACCCACAGAAACCTTAAAGTAGGCTGATAACTCTTTTTCAAGACCATTTTGCAGCAGCTGTTTTAGAGCATTTATGGCACAGCCCATGTGGAATTCAGGCACTGTTCCTCTTTACTGCCACCATTTCTCTCTGCGATCAATATGTCTGGAATTGTTTTGTGGATTAGCAAGAAACACCTGATTGCTAATTAGTGACCTAATTTGGAGCATGGGAAAGAAAATAAAGATTCATTCAAAGATAGGGACGGGGTGAAATTCAATTCGGTTTGCATTGATAAATGAAGCAATACACAGAACAATACACAAACCAAAACACAACTATTATTCAAAATGTAGGCTTCTCCAAATTTTGCAGCAGTTTTCCAGCCAATCAATGGATGTGTACACAAAATGCATACACTTGCATAAAGAGAAGATAAAAATGCATATATTCTTGAAAACAGCACACAAAAATGCACTATATTAGGGGAAATGGCTTTGCAGAAATATATGTATTAGGCAGAATTTCATGCAAAGACGTGCATATTAGGAGAAACCTGCAGTAAAATGCAGCTGAATGTTCACAAGGACTGAAATATTCACAAACTGATACGGAAATGTGGAGAACAAGAGTGGAAAAAGGAAAAACTGCAATTGACAGATTTGCCCATCCCTATTCAGTGTAGGAGGTATTAACCAGGTGCAATGAGGGAAACATGCCAGAATTAAAATTATTCAGAGCAATCATTTTTGTCAGCGATAGAAAGGTGAAGATAAAATTATGTAGGATGCAACCTTGATGTTACATTTTACCCCACACTGCCCACCTGCCATGGTTGCTAATCCTCTGCTACATTTATGTTAACTTTTCAAAGCACAGTCACTTAAATAGCAGCAACAACGCGGTCGCCAGCTCTCTTGCACCTGGATGAGTGTCTTGTGTTGCCTTAGATCTGCAAGCAGAGTACAGAAGTGGGTGTGTGCAGACATAGTCTTCAGGCTGTATATCCAGTCTAGCAGAGGGCGTGCCTGCTCACTCACACACAGGAGAGCAGAGTGTGGGGAAAGAGAAGCTGTCAGCAGACGGACGTATGGCAAGGAGGGCTCCCTGACATTCTACACCCGAACAAGATCTTTTTTTTTTGGTACTGCTGTTTCTGTTTTGTTTTTTAAGTCGCAAAAGAGAGACAGGTGACATCCCACCCACTGCCACCCCATCTGCAACCATGCTTCACTCTCCTTCTCCACTGAAAACAGCACTGGCTTATGAGTGCTTCCAGGACCAGGCCAATTCTACTCTAGCGTTGCCCTCGGATCACAAGCTGAAAACTAGGGGGACAGGAAAACAAAGGGTCCAGGAGCAGGTGATGATGACGGTGAAACGGCAAAAGCAAAAGACCTCCCTTTCATCAGCATCGAATGCAGCAGGCCACTCCAACCGAGGTAAATACCTATCACTGCTATGATTAACAAGGGATGACCGCTGAGTGTGAGAAATTTGACAGTACAGCGCTTGCCCTATCTGATGCCTCTTTGAGCTTAAGAATGTGTGGTATTGGGCATTGTCCATTGGAGTCAATACAGCTGGTGTCATTTGGTTCTCTGGGCAGGTTGTGTTCTGGTGATACCAAGGAAGTTTTGCAATGTCTCGAGGGATAACTAGGGATTTGGGGATCCCAGTCTTAGTAGTTTTGCAGCTTAGTGCCGAAATGGTTTCAAGATAGGCCATGGGAATCTAGTTAAGCTGAAGGACTTTGATTTGGATTGTGTAGGTTGATTTGGAATTGCAAGGTGGTGCTAAGAGCAAATGCTTCTGCTTTGAGATGAAGTAGGTTGGAGTTGAACATCTTCTAGCCAGTTTCATCCTCAAGATTCCCATAATTCTATCGTGAATGACTGGTACAATTTTGCGAAAGTTAACCACAGATAAATTCCACGGACTTCAGCAAGAGAGGAAACCATTCCAATTTAGAGTCATGGAATCATAGAAGTCAAGCAATTCCCACTAAAACCAATGAGATTTGTAATGCACAATTTAACTTAGATCCAAGGGTTTGATATTATCTGGAGTCTTGACAGCATTTCAAGTCTATTTATCTACAAATTGGAAATGGTATGCACCCCAGCAGGAAAGTTGTCCGGTTGAAATTAAGGCATGTCCATAGATCTGCTGTGACTGTCAAACAGAGAATGTTGTTACTACTTATTTGCACCACTGATCTAAGTACTCTGTAACTTTCCAGACAGTGAAAGAATATTCAACATTAGTCATTCACAGAGCAGACGTGCTGAAACCAATAGATTTACATAACCCAAGTCCATTGATTTCAATGGTACCTCCTGAAGTATAACTTAGTTGGATTAAACCACCCCTGGTTTTTATTTTACAGCTCGTGTGTCAACTTCTGCACACCTTAAACTGCAAATGATCTTGAAAAACACACATACACACATATATCAATTAAGCAAAGTGTGTGGCTTTGTGCTTTTTACATCACTGTTCTTAATTAGTGTTCTAAGATTATTGAGCAAACCCCAAAGCCTGGCCTCTGTCTCCCCAGTTCATGACATTGTTATTCAAAGAATGAGGTTTTTAAAAATCTAATTTGGGAGCACTTTAACACACACCTTCTTTTTGTATGAGACAGTGAAGTTTCATGATTTCAAGCTGCTGCTGCTGCTGCTTCTTTTGAAAATCTTTGGGAGTGAATCATTCAGGCTAAAACCACATTTATAGCTGTACTTTGTATTTTCATGACTCACATCTTGAGGAATTTATACTTAAAACTACTCCAGCAGATTGTATGCATTGTAGGCAGATTGTGCGAAGTAACTAACTATGTGAATTAAAAACCTTAAAATGAAGCAGAATGCTAGGTAGTTGTGCACTATGTCCCTGGTGGTCCTTAGGGATAGCGAACAAGACATGCTACTCTTGTCTGCATGGCAGGACACTTGGCTGACGAACACTGTGGAGTTGTGTCTTAACATCTTATCCGTGTGTGAGATAATTTGTCCTTCATATCTCAGACTTGAGAGTCAGACCCATGGCCCTGTAAATTTCAGCTCATTTCGGAAAGGATAAGACTCCATTAAAAGCAAAGAGTGAAGTAATGTGCGACAGGAAGCATTTGTCTCTGACAATTCTTTCATTGATAGCCATATATTCCATGGTCAAAATAGCAAAGGATTCTACCAGGAAAGGTTATCCTCTGTGTATCCTCTATGCATAGCAAGGCAAAAGGATTTGCCTATGGTCACTCAGCAAAGCTATGCGCAACTGAGTGTCGATATAAACCCCTTGATGTTCTGTTACATGAAGGATTTCAGGTTACGTGACGGATTGCCTGTTGCTGCATAGACCAGTAAGATCACTTGGATCATCTGAGGAAATTTTACTTGGGGCTCTGACTCTATCAAATATCACAGGGTGGTGACCCCAAAACAGGCTTTTTCTGTCATTGACCTTGCACTGAGGAATGCCCTTTTGTCCGTCATACACAAAGCATCATCTGTTAGCAGCTTCAGACTTCCTGTGATGATATACCTTTTTACCCAAATGCTCCCTGACCCACAAGATTTGGACTGTCATTTTTGGATTCCTGTTTTCATCTATTTTTATTTAATAGGATTTTATGGGTTTTTAATGTTTTGTCTCTGTTTTTATTGTACTGTTTTATTGGTTTAATGCTATTTTGTATAACACTTAGAGGGTTTTTCCGGTTAATATTAGGCAGTTTAAAGACGCTTATAAACAAATAATTGTACCCCAAACAATCCTCCTAGGATTAAATAGGTCACCTGTCTATTCACAATTGGGTTTGATAAAACAGTGTGCTCCTTGTAACTCATATCTTTTGCACCAAGGCTATCATTTGTAAGCAACTTCTGTTATAGTTAAGACTTCAGTTGGTTGGTTAAGTGTTATGGGAAAGTGGCTTAGCTAGTTTTTAGAAATGTGACAATTTTTATTCAAGAGATAAATAACAGTTACTTAGATCAAGGCCCCTTGGATGTTCTGGGCTGCTATTGCTGTCATCCTTGTTGCGCTGGCTTGGACTGATCAGTGTTGAAGTTCAACAGCGAACTTCTGGAAAGACACTTTGCGTATGACTTTTTCACGTTTGAGAGTCTGGGTGAAAAAATTATTTGCTCTTGATGTACGTGCAGAGGAGAAGATATTTATCATGACCCAGCACATTTGTTGGGTGTTAAAATCCCACTTGACCATTCACAATTTTTCCAGCGAATAGATTGATTTCTAAGTTGGAAAATAATAATATATGAATTGCCTTTCATAAACTTGGGATACTTGGTTCGCTCTGAAAAGCTTGTACCAGCAACCTTAGTCTACGAGAAGAGGAGTGGTTAGTTGCAGCACAGATTGAATCAAACATCAGATGTTCTCAGCTTTGGTTTTGGGTATCAACGAGAACTCTGAAAGACATGGCTCACACTTTCTTTTTGATCACATATGCATCTGAGGCCGAATTTTGTCTTTTTAAAATAAAAAGCAGTCTAATGTGGCTTTATTTGAGAGCTGCAGAATGTGAAAGTGAACTATTCATTTCCCCATTCCACCCCTTTATTTTATTTTATTTTATCTACCAAAAATTGCCCCCTCCCGACAAGCTATTTTCTGATCTCATGGGATATGCTAAGGATCATTCCTTTGAGTTGCTCATCTCCTTGTGACTGACTCCTCATTTGTTTTCCAATATGAGTGGGAAAGGAACTTGGGGTTGAAGCACAAATGGCAGGGAGGGAAGGGTTAAAGCAGTCCCTCTCTCATTATTCATCAGCTTCCAACCACAGCTTTCCAAGGCTGCTTTTCAGTTTTAGGAAAAGCACTGGGAAAAGAGACACAGAACTCTGCGTTGTGGAGAAGAAGGGTGTCAGTGCTTCCAGATGAGAGCTTAATATTTTAAACAGCCATTGAGATATAATTGAAACTCCCATCGGAAAGAAAAAAACTCCACAAGTTTTTGGTTTTTAAAAGAATTTATTGGATTGTCCACAGGGTAGAGTAAATCTGCATTAAATGAGATTTACTGGCACTTGCTGGCATTTTGATGTCAACAATGTTGCATGGATGCAGCAAAAAATAAAATGAAATAAAATAATTCAGCGTGTGAAGAGCATGCCATCCCACAATAAATACCCACCTAGAAGCACCCTGCATGTTTAAAGTGGCATTTCAGGATACCAATACAGCAACAACTGGAATTTGTGTTTATTATGTTAGGTCTACTTTTTATGTAAGAATGACGGCTTAGTGGGATCAGCTAGGTGGATGATATCTAGTAAAAACAGAAAACACAGTATCTTAAATCCATCAACTGTGTTATTTACACATTTATTTTGAGCAGTAACCCAAAATATTTATTTCTATAATTTACGTTAAATTGAATAAAATTATTGCATGTTTTCTAAAAGAGTCAATATTTCTATTTTGACACAATGCTAGTCCTATGCAGCGTAGGTTCATTGAAATTAATGAACACAGCTAACTTGGGTCCATTAATTTCAGTAGATCTACTCTGAGTAAACCTTTAGTGAAAATATGTCATCTGCTTTCTAACATAATCTCCTTTAGTAGTTGTAGATGAACCCCACAGACTTTCTGTTCCTGAGAAACAAAATGGTTTCATGCATTGGTCTTCTATTAGATGTTGTCCAGAAAATACCAACACCGCAAAAGAATTCTTTTTTAGGCTGGATAAGGGATACACACCCTTTTCAAATTAATTGTACATTGCAAACTTATGATTTATGGCAGGATAGTATTTGTTGGATGTAAAGTTCATAAAGTGGTTGTGTAACTAACATCTGAGCAACAGTAAGTTGCTAAAATTGGGTGGCAATCTCTCTAGAATGCTGATGGAACACAGATAAGAAATTGCAGAGAAATAGCTGTTGCTGGCAGCCTGCCTGCCTGAAAGGTTGCTAACATAAAGTGCAAAAGAAGTGGAATCCAAAATTAAGCCTAAATTGAGCATCTATCATAGAAGTAAAAATAATAATTAAGAACAGAATTATTACATTGGAGTAGACATAGGTGACTGACGTCATTGTAGAAAAGGAAATAACACAGTTTTTCTCAATGGATAGATTCATAAGGGTAATAAAGTCCATTAATTTTCAGAAAGCTGTCACAAACTCAGTTTTTATAGACATTTTAACAGTCCCTGGATAAAAGGAAACATTTGTGTGTGTCATGATGTCATGATGATTGGTTTTAGATTAACTGTTATCATTGCAGATAGCTTGTTGAACAATGTAGATAATGTTGAATAAGACAGATAAATGGAAATTCTGCAAATGGAAAGCATGGTAGCAAGATAGCATCTTTGGTGAGCAACGGCAGTTTGCATAATGTACAAGGAGAGAGGGAAGGAGGATTTTGCCTTGGTCAATCAATAAACGTGAGCTTCCGATGATGTAAATGGCTATTAAACAGAATAAAATCAAGATTTGTGAATTTAAGGAAGACGTATTTTGGGTTTTTTCTTTTCTTTTAAGGAGTTGCTTGTCATTGATCAGTGGCATCTTAAGTTCATTTTACATATTAAAGGTAAAAAAGTATTATACTTTGTATATGTATAATATTATATATATTATACTCTGGTAAAATGAGTATTTGGCCAATAGTCAATCTTGTCTTCCTGAAGTGTGAATCTGTATGCTACCTGTTTTAAGAATATATATTATACTTTATATTTTTACATCTATCAGGCCAAATGTAAGCACTTGCAATGCTTCTTTGGCTTCCATGGGAAAATTTCAACCACTGAATTTGAACCATTGAAATAAATGGAAATTGAGTGCATATGTCTTGCTGAATCTTACCCATAATGCAACAAGAATGGTAGTGGCTCTGTAGGACTAACCTGGCCCCACCCATCTCCACCTCTCCTTTGTGCAATTGTTCCACATTAATATAATGTATTTGCATTCATTGCAACACACACTAGGCTTTGTTGGTTTGCTCAGTTGTCAGTTGGTTGTATATACATATGAAGCGTAACATTTTTAAAGCAGGGATTCCCCCCCCCCCCATTGTGCAGATTAGTATAATTTTTAGATGCTGAACAATAATAATATTGGTGATACTTGCAACCCCTCATATTAATGAAAGGAATCCATAAAGTATTTGTTTGTTTTTCTGGAAAGTGTTACTAATGACAAAGGCAAAAAGAAAAGAAGTAAGTGAAGTACAGTGGTACCTCTGGTTACGAACTTAATTCGTTCTGGAGGTCCATTCTTAACCTGAAACTGTTCTTAAGCTGAGGTACCACTTTAGCTAAAGGGGCCTCTCACTGCCGCTGCGCCGCCGGCGCACAATTTCTGTTCTCATCCTGGGGAAAAGTTATTAACCTGAGGTACTGCTTCCGGGTTGGCAGAGTCTGTAACCCGAAGTGTTTGTAACCTGAGGTGTTTCTAACCCGAGGTACCACTGTAGACAGAAAGTATCATCGTACTTCTTCGATTGGTATCTTCCAGATTTACAGCTAGAGAGGAGTAGGAGAGGTCAGATCTTTACTAATGCTTGGGAATGTAGATGTACTGCCTATCATGGCTGCAAGGGATGAAACTGCAGCACATAAACTCAAACTCTCTGCACATTTGGAGACAATATGGCCCACCTTGGTCAATGCTATATGGTTCATGTGCAGAGTAGGAACGTATGAAGCTGTCTTATATTGAGTCATGCCACCGGTCTGCCTAGTTCAGTAATGGCTACACTAACTGGAAGCGACTCTCCGGGATTTTAGACAGGGTTCTCTCCCAGTCCTACCTGGAGATGTTGGGAATTGAGCCCTTCCCCAAATTATGAGGGGGATCCTTAGATAGTAATGCCATTTCATGGCTCTGCAACAACAACAACAACAACAACAACACAGGCAAGTAGCATGAGGTGAAAATTGTGTAGAACATCCACAACACCATATAATTTAAGCTGAAAATCCATATAGAAGGACTGAAACTAGATTTTTTTTTGATATGTTAAGAATTTAAATAGTGTCAAAGTCTCTTAGGGTGTGTCACATGCTTCAAAGATCAACATCTTTCGAGTGCTCATTGCCTCAGAACATTTGTGCATAGTTTAGGACTTTTAAATAGAAATAACATTTGTTTCCCCAAATGCTGGCCATTTACATATTTTACAACCCTCTTTAAGAGTTTTGCTTTCACATTGCATTTTAGTCCCTTTTGCTTTTAGTTATTGCAATCTTTCTTTTACTCAGAAATGCATTGGGAGAATAAATCACTCCCTGTGCACCTCTCTTCATTTTTCATGTTAAATGCACTAATAGCACACTATAGCACTGTGTTGCTACTTTTAAATGTTTGATTTTTTTAACCAGGGTTTTAAAAATGCAGGGCCGCTGGGGCTCTCATGAGAGCCTTGCAGTGCAATATTATACATGTCTACTCAGAAGTAAGCCCAATTGGCTTCAGTGGGACCCATGTAAATGAGTAGAGGATTGCACCATACAAAGTACTGGGTGCTCACAACACCAATTACTGTCAGCTGATAACAAAAATGAATTCTAGTAATGTGCAGAAAGGTGTGGAGAATGCCCACATGGGAGATTCCAGATGTGTGTCCTTTCCTTCAGTACCATCAAGATTCCTGGACAGCTGATATCTTTCTAAACATGAACTGTGGCTTAACCTTTGTCTATCACTTTCCATTTCAAAGATAAGGTTAACCAGCTGGATAGACACATGTCTTTATAAAACACACACACAGCAATCCAGAGCTATAGGTATGCTGCAAAGTACAAACACAAGTCGGCATGCCAATATTTGTTTTCAGAAATTCTGGCAATTCAGGCTAATCACCTCTTTCTTCAACAAGTAGCAATGTTGTTGAAAAAGGGATCAAGTTGTTTGTCTGTTTTAGTTTCTGGTTTTGTTGTTACGCTTTGTGGTTGCTCATTTCTGATGATGACTGCCATCTTAGTTCACAGATAAAGCAGAAAGCGATAATAATAGTAATGAGAATAGTAATCATCATCATCATCTATCCAGATTGCGCATGCCAGCATGCAAAAGATTTGTCTAGATTTGCACATCTTATTCTCGGTCCACCCCTCCAATGGGATTCCACACTGAGAGGTTAAGTGGGAGAAAAGATAAGACTCAACTTAGTGGAAGGGGGTTGAGTTCTCCTCTGGACTGGCTTTCTCAGCAGAATGGTGACGGCGCGGAACAGTGCACATATGTGCAGACTTAACACATGCAACCTGCAAAATGGCACCAGCCACCTCCACACACTTCTTATTAAGGGGCAGATCCCTACACAGTGCTGCAAACTTGACATATGTTTACATTCACAGCACACTGCTTTATTACACTGTTCTATGAAACTGAACAGCAGAAATTACTCTGCTGAAGTTTTCTTTTTTAGGTTTGTCTGGCATCCTTCAGTTCTGGCAGGGCCTGTAAAATCTGGCTGATCAGCAACCCTCGTCTCCTGCACTCCAGAACCTTGTGAGCATCTGTCTGTATATCAAAGACCTTGCTTCTACAAGGGATTAAGCATTACAGTATCTAAGTGAGTGGGCTGAGTTGTGCCATATATTTTTCTCTCTATTGGCATTATGGTGCACACAGGAAAGATGATTATGAATGAACCAGTGTAGTTCTCACTGACGGTGTCTGAGTGGGAACTTTGTTGCATGTTGGGACCATACATGGTTCACTAGGTGTCAATTAGGATAAAATGATAACATCGTTTCTCCCATCAGAACCCAAATGCTTTCATGTACAGTGGTGCCCCGCAAGACGAATGCCTCGCAAGACGGAAAACTCGCTAGACGAAAGAGTTTTCCGTTTTGGAGGTGCCTCGCAAAACGAATCTGCAATGGGCTTGCTTCGCAAGACGAAAATGTCTTGCGAGTTCCTGGGTTTTTTTTTTCCTTTCCCCCCTCTTTTTTCTAAGTCGCTAAGCCGCTTATCTGCTTATCTGCTAAGCTGATAAGCTGCTAAAAGCCGCTAAAAGCCGCTAAAAGCCGCTAAAAGCCGCTAATAGCGCTAATAGCGCGAATCCGCTAATCCCGTCAATGGGCTTGCTTCGCAAGACGAAAAAACCGCTAGACGAAGAGACTCCCAGAACGGATTCTTTTCGTCTTGCGAGGCACCACTGTATGTGTGACACCTGGTGGATTACTTGTGGGGACCGGATGAAATGAACACAAAGTCCTGTATGTGATTATAGCACCACATACATATCAGAAGAGTTTTGCCTTATAAAATTATTCCCAGAGGACTAGGGCAAAGAAATGTGTGAGTGTGGTTTATAAGGCCAATCTACTTCTATAAATTCTCAATAATAATAATAATAATAATAATAATAATAATAATAATTTTGGGCAGCTCCCAACAGAACACTACAAACAGAATAACACTTCAAACATTAAAAACTTCCCTAAACAGGGCTGCCTTCAGATTTCTTTTAGAAGTCAGATAGTTGTTTATTTCCTTGACATCTGATGGGAGGGTGTTCCATAGGGCAGGTGCCACTACCGAGAAGGCCCTCTGCCTGGTTCCCTGTAACCTCATTTATTGCAGTGAGGGCCCTTGGCACTGGACCTCAGTGTCCAGGCTGAACGATGGGGGTGGAGACGCTCCTTCAGGTATACTACCTAAGAGAGCAAGAGAAGGAGAAAATGCTGTTTTATATACAGGTCCTGTGTCGCTATTCCCATCCCACAGAGGCAATGTGCTTTAACATTGAATTTATATCGGGTTTAAGATATTTGTGAATGGGGATCATGTTCAGAAAATACACAGCACTACAAATTAAACTGCAATATTGGTAACCCACCAGAGTTCCACGTGCAGGAAAAATGCAGAGTGGGTTCCGTGCCCATTAACATAACTGCAGACTAGAAAATGGTTACCGAAACAGCATTTTTGCCTTACAGCAGCAACCAGTGAAGGAGGTTAGGGCAAGAGACAGTGATTTGCTCAAAGACAACTAGCTAGTTTCCTGGTTTACAGCATAATCCTAAGGACGACTGCGCAGAAGTAAGATCTGTTGAATCCAGTGTGGCTTACTCCCATGTAAGGGGGGCTGGGATTGCAGCCTTATAGTTATTTCATTGTTTATGTAGCAATAGTGTTTCCTATAGTTATACTAGGGCTTGCTCTGTGGGTATGTGAAATGTGAAAGTCAGATGCATTCCTTGAAGCACTTGGAGACTTCTGCCAGGCAAATGCAATGAGTCGGGAATCCCTGGATGTGTCCACTTTGTATTTGTAGGAAATGGAGACATCTGTCAATTTCAGTTTCTCTCAGTTTCTTATTTTTCTTACATTAAGTTTGATTTCAACACATCTGCATGCTTTCTTTTTTAAGGCCTCACCAAAATTCATCATCATTTAAGTGCACATTTTTGTGTGCAATTTTGTTGAATATGCACATATTTCCATGCAGTTTTCCCTGTAATAAAGCATTTTTGTGGGTAGTTTTCACTAACAGGTGCATTTTTGTGCACTTTTCCCCACTGTACACATTTGTGTACCCATTTCTAGACTGAAGAACTACATCACAAAATCTTGAGAATGAATTTCGAAGAATAGCTGTGTTTCAGTTTGCATATACTTTTCAGAAGTATGAATTTCTCCTTTCTCTAATTTGGAGGCCCAATTCCTCCTTTATATATTTTCTGTAGCAAAAGCATCAAGCTGTTTCCCCAACAAACATGAATGCCACAGAAAACTGTGAAGCTGCTCCATTGTTTTATTTTACTACATTCCATCCATTTCTATTCCACTTTTCTTCCATCCTTTCAAGGCAGCTTACACAGAATGCCCAGGCAGTCTCCCTTGCAGGCAGTGACCCAGCCCAAACCTGCTTAGTATTAGCAGTTAGTATCAGTAGCCCATACTTAGCCCTTGCCCTGGGAGCATTATACTACAAGTAATCAACGTTCCACGCAGCCTTTCTCAGCATAGTACATCCAGGCACTTTGAGAATGGAATTAACCCAGCCTCCTTCCTCCTTCTAGCATGTCTAATTTCAAATGGGTTTCCCCGTTCTCATAGAGCTAAATAATACACTTGCAAAAAGCTGGTGCAAAAGTGCTCTGGGCTGAAGAAACTTGCTAAGCCTGTAATGAAACTCCACCTTCTCTTCCCCTTCTATGGAGCTCCTCTGCTGTTGGCCAGAAGGTTGCCCTCAGCCAAAGAACAACCTCCAAGAACAAAAGATGGCTGAAGGTTTAATTAATATATATATATATATATATATATATATATATATATATATATATGGAAGTTGTGTGGCAACATCATCAGCTTCTCTAATATACATATATATATATATATATATATATATATATATATATAACACAACAAAGCAGTAAACATTATATTGCTTTACTAAGCTCTTTATGGACGTCCCATTAACTTCTTACATACTGGCATTATAAGATATGTTTTCCCCCTCAATGGACATTTGAATAACTGTTCAACATTTATTTGTGTTTCCACTCACAACTGACATAATTGTGCATCATGTTGTGTTTCTTGTTCAAAAACCTAAACTTGTATGAGAAGTATAATGCAGGTCTAAATAATTGCTGTGTATTGTATGCACAATTAGCTTAATTGCAGAAAGGCTTGGGCATCCAATGATTATTCCCATCCTATTGATCCAATGATATTTGTTCCAGTTCAGGAACAATGATCTGCAACAGCCAACAGCAAATACACAATTTCTGCATCAGGAGTGTTAAATTATAGGACAAGGTCCAATTAAGTCATATTCAGGGTAGAGCCATTGAAATCAATTGATGTAAATTACTTTAATTATTTCAGTGGGTCTATTTTGAGCATGACTAATGCTGAACATCACCCACAGTTATTTGCAGCATCATTGGGGCTCTTTCATATGTATGCACCAGGAAGACTTCATTCCTTTGCTCATGATTTGACCTTAGAGGCCACAAATAGGACATGTTTCTCTTTTAGAATTTTATATTTAGTTTGGCCACATATGAAGTAGTCATTAGCGGTGCCCCAACCCTATGTGCAGCATGGGTTGTATCCAATTCTCATCCTACTCAGAGGAGAGTCATTGAAACGAATGAGTATTACTTAGTTCTATTAATTTTAATTGGTCTATTCTGAGTTGGACTTTGTTGCTAATTTGTTGTTGATTACTAATAATTGAAACTCAGTGGGTAGTAGTCAACAACATTTTACTCAGAGTAGACTCATTGAAATTAATGGACCTAACTTACCATTTCATTGGAGTTAAATGTCATTGAATACAATGGACTTTGATTAACTGTTGACTTCATGTGTGCTTCCTCTGAAGCAGTTGTTGCATGCCCCATTTCTCAAAATTTTGGACATTAGTTTACATTATGCTGCCTTAACAGTTAAATATTACCATTTTGACAACTTCCCATTTTTGTGGATGAAGAAGGTAAAGAAGGCATTGGTCAGTAATTTTACACTGTGCAAAAAATTCAAACAGAAGCAAAGTGAAAGTTGTGTAAATGAGCGCAGTTGGTAAGGATTCATTGGCAGGCATTTCTCCACTTCAGACTTCTGTGAGAGAACAATATGTGCTAGCAAGCAGATCTATTTTTACAAACTAAGGAATAAATCCTATCAACCTTACTCGTATTGAGCTTTTAGGTCTCTAGGGGCTGTTTGATAACTGGGGCACAGATTCGAGGGGGTATAATTTAAACTGTTGTGTGGGGCGGGCGGAGGGGGAGCAGAGGGGCTGTCATATCATCAGGAATCACATTTCCTAGCCTAAATACAGTGTTCTGGGGCCAGAATATCATGTCAACAACCTAGTTTGTAAGTGGGGGTTTTATATGATAGAAGTGATGTGAGAAATCTCACTTGGAAATATACTATGGCATTTACCAGTCACCATTTACTATGCGATACATTATTTGGGAGGAATCTTATCATGTACTTAACACCAAGTTTGATGACTTGTCTAATATCTCATCTGATCGGCTTTACAGCTAAAACAAAATTTTTACAAATTCAAAACATGGAAAATTTCAGAATTTAACTTTTTGTTTTTAAAAAATTTCTTCATGAGATAGGAGACATGTGAACTGGCTCTTATTGTGGATGGAGGATAATTTCATTCATTTTTAAGTGAACCGGCCAAATTCATATCTCCAAGACAAACACAGAGATTGGAACATAATTATTCCTCAGATTTTGTACTTAATTGAATTTTATGACATAATTTTTGGCTCAATAAATGTACCAGATGTGTAAAGAAAAGATATATTTTAGGACAATGTGCATTTAGAAATGTGTACATTGAGACAAAATACATGCATTTTGTAATAAAATAAAACACATATTTAGATACATGTTTAAATACAATTTAAATATGAAATTTGCATATGTATTCTTTTAAAAACTGGCGATTAATGTGTGATGGAACAGACGTGTGAACAAACACCTGCAAAACCGGCATGGACCGCTCCATCACTAGTTCTCACTTGATGTAGGTTAATGGGCAGACATTGTGCCTAGTACAACCATATCCATTGGAGAGGCAGCTTTCTTCTTCTTGATTACTGTTGAGTCCATTGTGCTTTACCTACTGGGTGGAGGGAGGGAGATTTAATTTCCCGAGAGACTAAACTTCAGTCACTGAAATATTCAATCAAATCAGGATTCATAGTTTTCACACCTAATTCTTTTGCTCTGCTTCCAGGTTCCATGTACGATGGTCTGACTGATGGTCACAGCTATGGAACAGCCCGTGGTTCCTACTATGCCAAAGCTCACACAGGGAGCAACAACTGGGGACATGGGGTAAGGTTTTCTCTAAGAACCATGGGATGCTGATGGTGGGCAAGGGAAGAAACAGTGGTGGGGCTCTTCTGTCACAAAGCAAAAATAGCTTTCTTCCTTGGAAAGGCAATAACTCATTTGAAACAAGAATGATATGTCACTGTTATGCTATATGATGTGTTGTTGAATATATTGACTCAGAACCCAATCATCTGCTTAGATTTGGGGTGGGGGCCTTTATCATTTTTTTCCCATTTCCCATTAATTCTTCCATGATCTCATTTTTTCCCCTTTTCTTTTTTCTTCTCTTACTTTTTTCCTGTAAGCACTCTGCTGTATGAAGAAGCCCCTCATCACAGCTTTGCTAGCGTCCCAAGTCGCATTTATATCTGTATCTTGATTTAAATTTATTTCAAAATAGTCCTTCAAAAAAATTTCTGCCTTTTCCAGGGTCGATTGGCTGTCCAATAAGCTTTCATTTAGTCTCCATCTGAAGGTTGAGTTTTGCTGTCCTTTTAATTCCAGATATACTGGATTATGGTCCGAGAGAGTCCTAGGTTGTATTTCTGCCCTTCTTGTTCTTATCACTATTTCTTCTGAGATCCATATTGAGTCAGTTCTTCCAGCTGATTAGGCTCTGAGAAATGTGTAAATTGTCTTTCAAACGAGTTTTTATATCTCCATACATCATTCAATTTAAAATTCTCAACCAGATTGAAAAAACCTATAAGTAGTCTCCCTTCTTTAGAATCTGATTTTCTTATTGTTCTGTCCATATCTAGGGAGACTACCCCATTCAAGTCACCTATTAATATTATTTTCTGGTCCATAAATTCAAACATTTTCCCCTCTAATTCTTTGTAAAAGTCCAATTTTTTTTAAAAAAATTGCTTCATAAATCCCCACAATTACTATTTCCCCCCCTTGTGACGATACCTGTACCACTATCACTCGTCCCTTTTTGTCCTTATATTTTTTTTCGTTTCAAGTTTTTCTTTTATATACATTATCATGCCTCTTTCTTTGCTTTCATCCAAAGAAACAAAGTCCAAACCTGATCTTTTATTTATTAACACTCTTTTATGTCTTCTAGCAGCATGTGTTTTCTGTAAACAAATTATATCCAGATGAATAACTCAGCTTCTCTGAGTTATTCAAGCCCCTTCACCACGGCAAGGCAGTGATCCATGAAGGGGATGTGTTTTCTGTAAACAAATTATATCCAGATCTTGTTTTTGTAAAATATATTCTATTTTGTTTCGTTTCTTTTTATTATTCAGTCCATTAACGTTCCAAGTCAAATACATTTCTCTGCTTTATTTAGAGTCCTTAAGATTATCTTTATCCTGTTCTCTTCGTCCTCCCACCGCTCCTTTTTCTTCCTCATCTGGTTCAGGTCTCTTTGCTTTCAGCTTTTTCTTATTTCTTTCCCAGAATGTTTCTGCCTCACTTGGGTGTCTACATCTTTGTTTCTTTCCATTAAATGTAAATGAGATGCATTATGGGTATTCCCATCTATAACAGATCTTGTGTGTTTTTAGTGCTTCCATCAAAAATTTTTAATTATTTTTTTCTCTCAAAATTCGAGCTGGAATTTCTTTAAGTATGATTATTCTTTGGTTGCCTATGTGCAGCTTCTTCTCAAAATTGGTCTGTAGGATTCTGTCTTTAATTATCCGTGAATTTAATGTCACCAGACAATCAGCTGGTAGTTTTTGAGCTTTAGCATAACTCAATTTTACTCTAAAAACTATATATTGACTCAGATCCCAATCATCTGCTTAGATTTGGGGTGGGGGCAGTCATGTAAAGCAGGGACTTGGCCTAGGCTACAAGTCCATTACCATGGGGGGCAAATTGAGGCTCAGTTGTTGGTCATGCTTGAAGACGTTTATGGAACTATATTTTTGCTGTATTTGTGCATTTATGTTATATAGTATGTCAAGATTTCATGAATTTTGCCAGAGCCAGGCAGAAGTAATGTTTCAACAGAGCAAGCAGCATTATGGAGTAATAAAGGAGGGACTCCAGAACTTGACTAGAAACAAACCACAACTTTATTTTTATCTCTATCAAAGATTACAACGGCAATGAAACTAGGAGCAGTGTGGAGGCAAGTGTGCTTAACTTCTAATCAGGCACCCAAGGATACTGTACTGAGATGGCTGTCCTGCCACTCAAAATCAACCCCTGCCTTTCTGGCTCAATCCTGAGCCAGTCCCTATTTGCAATCCTACATGCACAAGCATTCTCCGCCCAGCAGCTTCCCAGTATTGCTGTGTGCAGTCCACCTCGTGCCTCCCACTGAGAGATTGTTGCAGAACTCCTGCTCTCTTCTTCCTTGTGTAAGTCACATTTAAGGATGGTTTTCACTGCCTTCCCAAGCTGTTTCTCATACACTCCTCCTCCTGTCACAGGAAATAGCCAGCTCAGCTTGGTTTCCTTGGCACTCTCACTAACCTCAAAACAAAAACAGTAGCCTTCGTAAACAAACAAGGAAGATGGAGAGCACACACCCCTCCAAAGATGAATCTCATTGCCCTAATGGAGAAGAACCACATCCTTCACTAACCTGGGTTGCCTAAATAATCACCAGCTGTGGGGGAACTTCCTATCCTGGAGAGCATGATGATGGGACAATAGGACATCCCACTGCATACCATGTTTCTCCCTTAGGCTGCCTTTTCTTCTGAGCAATTCTTTGATCATTCTCATTAATGAAACTTTTTATGTTGGCTTTGTCTCTTTGGGATATTGAAGTCTACAACATAACATAAGATCTTCCCTTCCCAGCAATAACAGCATGCGCTCAGCAATAAGTCTCAGGACAGAGTGCATATCTGTCCTGCACCTGCAATGAACAAAAACTTTTGCACTACATCTCTTGCTTGGTTTGACCATCAAATTTGTTAGCCTGATAAAGGGTAGAATTTGTGCAATGTCTTCCCTTCCAGTTTTATTTTTGTATGCCTTCTTCCCCTGATCTATTCTACAAAATGAAACACACATAGCTGACATTTTCTTCACACACACAGCCACAAAGTGTATGCAGATCATAGTGTAAGCATGCACACTCTCTTGTCTCCCAAATTCAATGTGAAAACTGGCTTCAATCTGTTTCTCTGCCTCCTATAAAGCTAACTGAATGGGCATCATTGCTTTCCAAAACTCTGCTGTGTATTACATTCCGTAACCTAGGGAGAGATTCTCAGGAGAACATCTTCTCTCATTGCACACACGTGTCACTCGGCTTCTGTATTTCTTAGTTTCATTAGAAATATTTCTTTAATTAGTCATGGAAATGACTACTGCTGAAGCATGTTAAATCTTTTGTAAACGAGGGAATTTACAGGCTGGGGAGAACGAAGGCTACTCATTGCAGAGGGCACGCCTAACAATGTACTGTATAAATTCAAAGTTGGTGATGCTGCAGTCAGACAGATTCAGGCAAACATGAGAGAAGAATCATGCTGTGCAAGTAATAAAGGAGGTGGGAGAGAGAAAGAATAATGGAAGCTGTTGGGTGTTGGTTAAATCCACGGCTGTCTGAGTTTCCCATGACCGGGCCAGGTTACAAAGTTGCTGTTTTTCATGGCTCTGCAAATTGGATCCTGTTAAAACATTCAAATAGCCATCATCTAAATGTATTGTACTATGATAACGCTGTCCCTGGTAATCCTGTTTCACCAGCATTATAAGTCTGAGAGATGGAAAGGGAAATCTTTGTAATCTTCTGCCCATACTGCTTGCATCGGGGAATCCTCTGAAACTGGTTGGCTGAGCTGCAATAGTGACATGGGACGCCACTGAGAGCTAAACTCTTTGCAGCCCAGCTGAAAAGGAAGGAGAATCATCTGTTTATCTGGGGATTAAAGCATCATACCACCCAGACAGATAAATGAGGATCTGTACTGAGCATGAAACGTTTTCCCCCAGTCACCCTGCAGCGAGATTTATGCAGAACTGGATAATTTCAGAGTCAAATGCATTCTCATAACACCAGCCAGTTGAACAAAAATTGGGTTTTTTTTAAACTTGCCTGTGATTGAGGCTAGTGTCAGACAATATGTCAGACATAGGTGTGTTTATTTATTTGTTTTGTATATTAAACAATTCTGCCATGTGGATACCAGGGCAGTATGCAATTCATTGCACTATAAGATGACCCCAAAAATTATGTGTGAGTGTGAGAAGAAACGTTGTCTGAATTCATTTTCACATCCTGCTCAAATTATGACAAAGCTGTCTTTGGATCAATTGATTAACGAGAGCATACAAAATAACAAATTTTATGCATGCACGAATGAATAAATAAATAAATACATAGACACTTGGACATCTGTGCCTTCTGAAAGAGATGGGAAAGTGTCAAAGAAAAATATGAAACAGTGAAGGGAAGAAATATTTCAAATCCAGAGGAAATTTTATTTTATTTTATTTTATTTTTACTGGTTATCCAAGTTTTTCTCTTCCAGTTGTGTGTAACAGACTGGAATGAGTGCATTTCGCAAGCAGGATCTAGGGTGTGCACAATACATCATTCAGAGTGGCACTCCATCATATTTCATTGCCTTGGCTTTCCCCTCTGGCCTGAGAGACACCTCCTCCCATTGTTTGTGCAATTTTATTTTTTTACCTCCACACCATCTGCTGCTCTAGAAGTAACTAAACCACCTGTAGGTTTTTTTTGTTCGGTTCCTATCTTTCTACGAATCGCTTTGCCAGCTATAAAAATTGGAACCACCTAATAAGTAGGCTTAGGGACGCGGGTGGTGCTGTGGGTAAAACCTCAGTGCCTAGGACTTGCCGATCATCAGGTCAGCAGTTCGAATCCCCGCAGCAAGGTGCGCTCCCGTTGCTCGGTCCTAGCGCCTGCCAACCTAGCAGTTCGAAAGCACCCCCAGGTCCAAGTAGATAAATAGGGACCGCTTACTAGCAGGAAGGTAAACGGCATTTCTGTGCGCTGCTCTGGTTCGCCAGATGCAGCTTGAGACGCTGGCCACGTGACCCGGAAGTGTCTGCGGACAGCGCTGGCCCCCAGCCTCTTAAGTGAGATGGGCGCACAACCCTAGAGTCAGACACGACTGGCCCGTACGGGCAGGGGTACCTTTACCTTTACTAATAAGTAGGCTCATGAGTGGGTTCAATTCCTGTCTCTCCCATTGACCTATTCAGTTTCCAATTGTCTCTGTGTGTCTGTGTGCGGGTTGTGGTTCACTTTCCCCAGTTAGACAGGGTGGAGAATGATAGGGATCCACTTCTGAAAAGTTCTTGGTGACCACAGCATCGCACAATAAAAATTATAAACGTGTTATCATGTCACTTAAGTGCTTTGTGAATCATTTTGGTGATATGAACATTTACAATAATTGCTACTTACTTAACTTATGGGGGTGTTAATATATTTAATTAACCATGTTTTAAAAGGAAGATAGACTGCATTTGACTTGGCAACTGGCAAATTGTGCAGGCCTGGATTACTGAGATAATCCAACACTAAAGTACTGTACAAATTATTATTACTAAGCGGATGATGATTAATAAGGAATTAATATATTTTCCATCTACGTCACCTAGATTGCTATGGGATTCTAAGATACACTGATGTTATGCTGACATTAACAAGCTGCTGATATACATTAGCAGAATCATTGGATTGCTTGGCCCCAGTCATAGTTTAGAGCAAAATTTTAAAATCCCCATAAACTTCTGCCATCAGAGAGGAGTGCCATTGGTAGGCAGAAGCTAGTATCAATGGTAGCCAGTAAAAGGTAAAGGTAAAGGACCCCTGACAGTTAAGTCCAGTCATGGACGACTTTGGGGTTGCGGTGCTCATCTCACTTTACAGTGAGGGAGCCAGCGTTTGTCCGCAGACAGTTTTTCCGGGTCATGACTAAGCCGCTTCTGGCAAAACCAGAGCAGCACACAGAAACGCCATTTACCTTCCCACCAGAGCAGTACCTATTGATCTACTTGCACTTTGACAGGCTTTCCAACTGCTAGGTTGGCAGGAGCTGGGACCAAGCAACTGGAGCTCACCAGTTCGCAGGGATTCGAACCACCGACCTTCTGATCAGCAAGCCCAAGAGGCTCAGTGGTTTAGACCACAGCACCGCCCACGCTAAAACTGAATCTATGGATCTACTGGGTTCAAAGCATGATGGATCCCCCAAGGAACCTGATTCTAATGCTTTTCAGCTGCTCTAGACTGAAACAAAACAAATGTGAAAAACTTGCCCCTGCCAGCTGCCCTTGTTAGCCACGTGTTAGTGGATCTGACATTGACTGCTTCCATAGCAGTACTCAATAATTCAAGCGGTGAGAGATATTTGCTTAAAGCAGCCGCCTTCTGTTGGAAATGGACAGTGGTGCTGGGGTCCGTTGGGACTGGTAGGGCAGGCAGGTCAACAGTGGGTGTAGCCAGAGTCATTGACAGGCAGAGCCAACTAATTCTGTCTTTGTCTGCATCCTCGTCCCTGCTAAGTTCTGCAAGGGACAACAATGGGACTCAGGAGAAAGAAGGTTATAGCCATTGCCATTACCTAGAGTTGTTGTAGTAGAAACAGGCAGCTGGAGGGCTGGCTGAAGGCAAGCTTAGGTTAGTGAGGCAATGCCCCTTCACCTAACAGGCCAACCTCAATTGCAAATGGACTTGGCAGAAGAATGCAGAGAGTCTCTTCACCGAATCACTAGTTCCTTGTTTTTGGTGATCTTGCCATGCACACAAAGTTGGGAGCCAGAACCTGAGCCTATTCAAAAGGTTTGTTGAAAAGAGTGGATTGGCATTTAACCAGTCTGGAAGGTATACAGTATATGCCCAAACATATTTGTTTCATGTCAAGCTGCAAGGGTTCAACATGTTCAAGCATTCAAGCTGCCTTTGCATAAAGGGTTTTGTTTTGTGTGGAGGTGGGTTGGGATGGTGTCAGATGTGTTGATTTAGTGCTTTTGATACCCCACCATTTATTTATGGGATCAAATACAATTTATGACCCACTTTTCAAGGAAATTCCCTCACCAGGTGCTTTACAATATGGACATAAAATAAAATATAATTTGTACCATTTGAAGTTATCTATTTCATAACATCAGTAAGAGCCATCACAAAAGCAACAAATAACCCAACAAATACCTAGACAAACAGGAACCATTTCCACAGCTTGATGTGCAGTAGCCAGTAAAGGCTATGGGAAAAAGATGGCTCTTCAATACTGGTTTAAGAAAATCAAATGATGGTAGGGCTACTATGCTGATCCTCAGGGCCAGCCCACCCAGGAGGAAAGTTGAGGTAACTGCCTCAGGTGGCAAGATTTATAGAGGCGGCAGATCCCACTATCAACCTTACTCTTTGTTCCTGCTGTATATCTCCTCTCACACTTTCTTCCCTGGCAGGATAAGGAACACCATTTTGGGGTCCACCTTGGATGCCAAAATGTCTTGGTTCAGCTGTGCTAATCCTACTGCTGATTCCTCATCCCAGAACCAAACACAGACTGGGAAACTACCAGGACCAGTCTTGGTGGTACGGGCTAAATGAGAGATACCCAAAGGCTGTTATACTAAATTCCACATGGCATTGTGGTCCCCTTCTCCATCATTCTACTTCTTGCACTTCGAGTTGAGTGCTAGCTTGATCAGCTATTTGCTGCTCCAGTGTTGACATTTGCTGCATTCAAACTATGTGGGCTATGTTCAAGGCTGTCTGATCTAGCTTGAATGGCTGGAGACTTACCTTGGCTACACTCTTTTTTTTTTTTTTTAGTAAGTCATACGCCTTTATAGCAGCAAAAGAGAGAATAATAGAGAGATAGCGACTTGGCACAGATGTTGAGTCCCTGGGGCATTTGCAGCTAACAAAAGCTAGCTATTATGTTTCCATTAAAGACTTAACATATTATTTATGTAAGGCTTCTGTTTTCTTTTACATTTATTCACATCAAGTGTCTAGAAGGAGAACAAACGAAAAAGACGTTTGTGCACAAGTGTGTTTGTACACTGTTCATTTTGATGTGTTTATGAGAAGGAATTATCAAGGGGGGTATCCTGAATTTTGGAATGGCAGGCTCCTTTTCTGTGCTATTGAGTTGTTAGCATGTTCTTCTTCCCAGTGAAGCTTGGGAGCTGTGGATGCCAAGTTATTAGCTCTGGGAAGACACCTTTCTGCTAAACAAGTTCTTAGAAACAAGTCAATGCAGGCACAGCTTGGGTGGAGTGAGATGCACAAGATTTATCCTGCAGAGATGTGGAAAAACAGCTTCTATGGTGTTAAAATAAGCTCATTATCAAAACCAATGTTTGAATTTTGCTATAAGCTGAACCCTGATATCACAGGCTCCAAGGTTCTGCATCTCATTCTTTCCCAGGATTCTAGCTGGTGGTTTGTTTTTTAATAGACAGCATTGCAGTTTGCTCTTTTATACTGAAAGCATAGATCTACTTTTGCTCTTCAGCTTTCTTTTCTTTTTTCCTGCCTTGTCAGATAGCAGATGGTCTCTCAGTAAGATGGACAGGAGAGGGCCATAGCTTCTCACGTTTAACAGGAAAGGAAAATGTTCTGTCTCCAACAAGGACACATTCCTCTCAGGGAAAACTTTGTGTCAGTGAAACACTTCCCTGAGTTTGGAAGACTAAGGCATAAATTTGGGTGCATTTTAACTGGAATAGTACTCTACACAAGGAAGAAGGTCTCAGAGAACCCACTGAATCCCAGTGATGCAGTAGAGCAGGCTTCCTCAACCTTGACCCGCCAGATGTTTTGAGACTACAATTCCCATCATTCCTGACCACTGGTCCTGCTAGCTGGGGATCATGGGATTTGTAGGCCCAAAACATCTGGAGGGCCAAGGCTGAGGAAGCCTGCAGTAGAGCAAAACTGGTGTGCATGCTTAAAAAACAAACTCAGAAGTTATGACATTAACACTTTGGTTGAATGCATCATGTTAGGGACATAATTAGCAGCTGTCTCACAGACACTTACGACTCAGCTAGATTGGCAAAGAAAAAACGTTGTATATGCGATATAAAACTGTGACACCAGATGGCACTGTGGAGTCCTGTCTTTCCCTACTGGATTTCCCTGTATGAGTTTACAATGCATTTAACTGAAACACTTCTTTGATGTGTCTAGATCTAGCCTTAATATGTGTGCTAACTGAAAGCAAAACTCCTAGTGAATACAGTGGGGTTTATTTATCCTGAGTAAACACTATGGGATGCTGCTGCACATTCTGGTTTCACTATTTATTTATTGCATTTCTAAAACCTACCCTTTAGGCAGAATGCCTCTTGGAGCAGCTTACAAATATCTTAGTAGGTCCCTGCCCTCAGGCTCACCATCTAAAAGGACATGATACATGAAGAAAAGGGGGGTGGGAGAAAGGAGGGAAAAGCAAGCTCAAGCACAAATTACTGAAGTTGTTATTGTTACATGGATACATGGATGTACCATATTTTTCGCTCTATAAGCCGCACCAGACCACGACGCACCTAGTTTTTGGAGGAGGAAAACAAGAAAAAAAATATTCTGAATCTCAGAAGCCAGAACAACAAGAGGGATCACTGCGCAGTGAAAGCAGCAATCCCTCTTGCTGTTCTGGCTTCTGTGACAGCTGCACAGCCTACATTTGCTCCATAAGACGTACACACATTTCCACTTACTTTTTAGGAGGGAAAAAGTGAGTCTTATAGAGCAAAAAATACAGTATATTCTGCTTGAAATGTGTGGTAAAAGAGTAACCTTCAAATGAGCACACAAATAGCCTTGAAGTGAATGAATCCATACTAAGGTGTTTCACAGTCTGTCTCCTTCTCTTAAGAGAGTTACTTTGCCAGAGAGGGTTAGAGATACTCTAATCTTGAAGATGGTTCAACATGTTTACACTGTAGGCCAGGACATACTTGAGATTCTTCACAAATCCAAATTTCTGAACATATGTTCATTAAGTAGATGCAAAAAGCCTCAGTGAGGTGGGGGGAAAATGAGAATTTATTAGGAAGTTCTTAAATTGCTGCACTGAACTTCAGTGAATTGTTGAGACAGCTCTGGCCTGTGGTTGCAATTCTCTATTTTATTTGCACTTTTTGTCGTTTCCCCTCTACTTTGTTGTTGAGAGCGGAGGGGTAAAAATACACTCGGTTCATATTAATGTGTAACGCTGTGATGAGAAAAATCCCGAGGGGTGCTGAGTAGAGTGAAATTCACCAGCAATGTGAAATGACTTGCTTTAGGCAGAGCCATTATGAGACTAGATGAAGGCAGGAATTGGTTTTGTCCAGAGCAAACTAAACTGTCCTTCTACCAGATGTGTGTTTGTGTGTTGGATTAGGAGGTGCTCCATCCAATTCTGGCAGCCTCCCACTGGCCACCAGTCTCATGGAAGGCTTTGCAGTATCCTTAAAGGGGTGTTTCACATGTGGGGATGACCCAGGCCAGGATCTGTGGCACAGCTGTTTGGGGATCCAGGCCCCATTGCTGCACCAGCCTGATTCAGGCCTGATCATCCTGCTCCCTGCCCCTTTCGCTATAGCTTCCATGAGTAAGAGGACGGTAGATCTGGCTATGGCTCCATAAAGCAGCACTGGTGGGGTGTGGCAGAAAAAGAGTGCCTCCTATATGGTGCAGAAAGCCTTAAAAAAATCTTGGCCCAAATATTGGTGATGGGTGTGCCATGTGGACTTTGCTTCAGGTAGCAAAATGTCTTGGGCTGTCACTGCTTCTACTGAACATGGCTCATTCATTCTTCCTCTCAAAGGTAATGATTGGAATGCTACTTTCGATTAGGGTGGTTACTTATGCATCCCCCAGATAGAGGAAATACATAAAATTTGCATAGGATATTTTTTGTATAGAGATGCATTTTTTAAATAAAAAATATATATTCTAATTTGAATAGAAACACATAGAGGGGAATACTGATCAGTGTGCTGACAAGTAGTAACTATTGATGGGCAGTGTCAAGGCCCCTGCTTTGCCTTCTTAGGGTACTTCATCTTTAAGCTGGGCTTGGACTGGACAGCCCTTCGAATGAAAGGTTGTCCAGTATAAGAGCACATGGCCACCCTACTTTCATTGGACATGGTGCTCAGTACCTCTCAGGGATCTAAGTGGTCTTTGTAAAGCAAGTGAAATTCTAACTTTGACCCTTGTATTTCCTATTCTTCCCCTTCTCCCTCTCCCCAATCTCCCCCAGCTGTACAATGGAACCCTCAAAAGAGAAGCTGAGAACAAACGCTACAGCTCCTACAGCCAAATGGACGGCTGGGGCAGCCGGAACTACAACAAGGTCTGTAGCCCAACTGTTCCTGGCAGTGATTACTGCCTTGTGCAGACTATGAAGAGTAGCCGGAGTGAGCCAGACCTCTACTATGACCCTCCAAGAGGCACGCTGAGGAGAAACCAGAGTGGAAGCCGTGTGAGTCACAAGACCAGTATGCATCGTCATAGCCTCTACAACAGCACAAGCAACAACCAGCATGGAATTACAACTGCAACAAGGCCAAACAAAGTAGTTCCAGTCCGCAGCCCCTCTTGCACCTCTGCCAGCATGGTCTATGTACAACCTGTTGCTAGCAGCAAGCAGGATGCAGTCTATGGACAGGTTAACTCAAAGTAAGTTCTCATGTGTGTCCTTTCTGCTTGTGATTTCTTCTTCATGGTATGCAGGGCAATTTACTTGGTTTTCATCACCATGCAGAAAGAAAAGGTTTGCCAATTCTGAATCCCATCAGAACCTTATTCTGGTGTTTTGCCTCCTGATTTTTTGATGTGGCTTGTATGAATCAAGACTTGAGCCATTTAGTTTGCAATCCTAAACAAGCTGGACTAGACACAATGGAGCTTCTAAGTAACCATTCATAGGATTGCACTGTTTGGATCTCAGTTGGAAAGGAAGAATTCTATGTTAAAGAATCTAACTTGACACCACATTTAACAGATCATTCATCTGTGACACTAATAATGGCAGTCAGATATTCAGCACCAATAACATATGCCTCTTCTCTATCTGTTCTTCCCAAGTAAAGAGTTATGAACTAAAGGTTTAAGTGAGGTTCAAGTACAGTAATTAGTTTAGCCTACTAGTGGTAGCTTTAAAATGTCTTAAGCTTTGGAGTAAAGAAAATTCCAGTGAAAACTGATGTATTGACCCTTCAGTTAGATTTATTCTGTGAACAGCCCTGAGACTTGCAGGTATAGGGCAGTTGTTTATTATTATTATTATTATTATTAACAACAACAACAACAACAACAATTTTGAGGTATGTGACATGGAAACCAGAAAAATTGTTTGGAACTCTATGGAACTTTAGCTTAAAAGTCTTGTTACACCTTTAAAGAACATAAAATGGCACAAGCTTTTATGAACCAGAGTCTACTTCTTCAGAGGCCTGAAGTGTTATCCTAAGCAGACAAGTATGGGCTGCTGCATACCTGCTAACTCAGGATAACACTTCAGACCTATGGCAAAGTGGATATTAGTCCACAAAAGTCTATGTCATAATAAATGTGTTAGTCTCTATAGCACCACTCATGACTCTTTTGGGTGTGTGAGGAGGAGATTCTGCCACTCTGGAGTGTCAAATTAGTTGCCCTGCCCAAACTTCTCCCTAAGAAAAGGCTAGTTACCATTGAAAATATTATTACAGATCTGGTTTATTATAGAGCTTTTAAAAAATGAGAGAGCCATTTCAGCTCATGAAGATTCATCAGCAGCATAACTGTTGAGTGAGAAACACTGTCCTCTGCCAAATGTCTCTCAGGAGTGCTCTCTTTGTAGCACCTTTCCTGATAGGGTGTGGTTCACCTTGTAGAACTGGTTCAGATTTGGGAGTTGTCTGTCTTGAAGCACTGGGCCTGGTTGCTGAATCTTCTTGCCAGTTGAACTTGTTCTTGTTGGGGAGTTGTCTCCTTTCTAGAATTGAGACTATCTGCATGGTTCTGAAGCACTGTAGAACTTGAAAATTCAGTCCAGTATCTAATTTGGAGAGGATCGGATGCCACTGGTAATGCCAATTCTTTTTCCAAGGGAAACAGCTTCTATAACCTATAGGCATCTGGAAACAGAATCTTCAAAGAAACAATCTTCAAATTGAAAACTGTTTTTAAATAATCTGGTGGGCAGGACAAGTGGGGGAGATGGGCCAGCTGCTCTTGGTTCTGCAGAGACCTCTCTCATTCCATTATAAATAATTGTTGTGGTGTCTTTGGTGACATCCCCAAAGCTCCATGCCCATTGTAACTGAACTGGTCAAACTCCCCTAAATCTGCCTCTACTTCTAATCTCAGAGTGGGTAATTCACAGGTCTACATGGTCTTGAAAAACCTCTGACCCCATCCTTCTTTCTTGAGATCCCACAGGAGGATCCCTCCAAGATTGTGCAAGAACCCTGGTGTGGGGGTGAAATTCCACCTGTTTCACTGCTCTCCAGGCCATGCACTGCTGGGCAAAGTCACTTCACATGGAGTGTGTCCGGTACAAAGCTTGTCGGTCCCTGGTCATCCTGCAACCGCATTCCCCCCCTCCCTGTTTATGACCACAGAAGGAGGAGAGGTGCAGAGATGGATAGCTATGAAAGAACATGTCTAAACTGAGAGGCTACCCTATTTGTTATATTTACTAAACATTTTTGTAATTGCTGTATTCACAATAGAGGAAGCAAAGTGGTTCTAGGATATGAATGTGTAGTGGCTTGTAGAAGAAAATTCTTTCGGAAAGTAACTTCTTACTTGGTGGGAAAGCCCTTAGCTTTTGCTTTCAAATAAAATATGTTAATTTGCCTAAACTACAGAAATGGTAAGGGATTGTGCTTTTTTATGAAACAGTGCCCCAGGGGCTTGGTGCAATGATCACTAGGGTTTTTGGTTTGGTTTTGTTTTTGCAAAATGTTCCGGTGCATGTTCATAGTTATTCCTGGTGTCCTGAAAACCTACTAAGTGGCACATTGCATAATAGAGCACCGTGTACCTACAAATTTGGGACAGGCTGAGGACTGAGAATGGTTATCAGTTGAGACTTGAGAATTGATTTATCTCTGGGTGTAAATATTCCAGGATGGATTGCTTCACCTAAGTATGCCAAACATTTGCTCTGATATTCCAGCTCCATCAGTTAAACAACATGCTTATAGAATTATTTCTACTTTGGATATTTTATCAGGATCAAGCAGAAAGACACTTTGCTTTTTCTCTCATTAGCTATTTTAAGACTTGCCTAAGACTGAATAGATGGTTGTGGGCCCCAGGCACAGTGAAGCTGTGGGTGGTCAGCCCCAAGCCTTGTAGAATTGCAATAAATGCAGGAAAACCACTTGAGATTTATACAGGACACAACTTTATTGATTACAGATGTCAACAGGTTTTGGGTGCAGGCACTGGGTGTGTAACCTGGTTCAACCAGCCCAGTTGCTGGTTGATTATTTTGGCAGGGTTAACCAAGGTTACGAACCACCCTATGACACACACCAAATCAGGGTGACCCCACCTGTGATCACCTGACCTGTCAGCATCCATCTGGGAGCCTGGACAGAAGCACCTCCACCCTGAATCCCTTTGATGGGATACCAATGCTTCTAGTCCAACACAGATTATTAAAAAAGGAATCACAACTGGTAATTTGAGATTCACCTGAAGAAAAAAAAGATTCGCCCGTGATCTTCCATATGCACTTGTAGTGCAGAACTTGGCAGCTGCTTTTGCATGTGGCAGATGTAAATAAGTTTCGTATGAGTACACCGTGCTATCTGTGGCGCCATGCTGCAGCTCCTAGTCAAAACTCCAAGACAAAATAACTTAAGCAAGTAGCTATGTACATTCACATTTCCAAGGTCTACAGGCATACAACCATGGCTTTTTTTCTTGGGGTACTCAAGGGTATGCAGTACGGGCATATTCTCCACCCCCCCACACACAAGTGTTAAAAGTGTGACACTTATTGTAACAACTTCATGGTGAGTACCAGCACCTTTTTTCCTATAAGCACTGCTTATAAATGATTGTGTTGGTACAGAATTATCCTATGCTACCCAACTCTTGGGTGGTAGCAAGTACTTTGGGACCATAACACTTGATTGGGAGCCGCCCAGAGTGGCTGGGGAAATTCAGCTAGATGGGTGGGGTATAAATAATAATAATAATAATAATAATAATAATAATAATTTAGAATGAGGTAAAATTGCATTGCTACCGTGCAAGCCAGATGTCTTAGAAGATTGTTCACTTGGTCCTTTCCCTGACTTAGTTTGCTATCCAGTTGGATAACTTCTATACTGGGGTCTAGTTAGGTGGGTAGGTAGAAGAGAATGACAGGACAATTTTATGCTAAAATAGGAACTGAAGAGGAAATGAGGCTGGATTATTGCTAAAAGGGATGAGGATGGGATAAAGGTTTTGACCCTTTAATTTAGGTGAATCATTTACATCAGGCATAGGCAAACTCCGGCCCTCCAGGTGTTTGGGAGTATGATTCCCATCATGCCTAGCTAACAAGCCCAGTGGTCAGGGATGATGGGAATTGTAGTCCCAAACATCTGGAGGGCTGGAGTTTGTCTATGCCTGATTTTACATTATGGGAAGTGGTGTCCATTCAATATGGTATAGAAGAGATGGTGGGATGGTTTTATTGAGCAAGGAGGTAGCTAGAATCTTAACTTTAGTGTAATCTTGTTATTTTAATCGTAATGTTGTATATTTACAACTTTTTGGTTGATATATAGTGTTTACATAGCTCAAATGGTTGGATTTATGCACTGTTCAGAGTTCCTGTACTTCCCTGTTGATACTTGTCACCTAGATAAGAAGAGGATGTAACTTCTTCCACTATTTTGCTATTAAACTGCTAGGAATCTGCCTCACAGTGAATGACATTTCCTTCCCCTTTTTATGTTTAGAATAGTCAGTGATGAGATGGATTATGGAGCAATGACTATTCAGAAAGCCATCCAGTTCCTGTGTTCTTCAGATGAGAAGTACCATGCCATGGGGGCTTATTACCTGCAGCACACCTGTTTTCAAGATGAATCTGCCAAGCAAGAGGTAAAGTTATTCCTCACTACTTCAGCTGTGTGTGGCTTTGTAGGAGATGCTTTAATGTGTGGAATTATGTCAGGACTCATGTTTCCTGTAGCTCCACCAGAAAGAAGAGGAAGTCAGATTGGGAAGAGGTATCTTGTCCATTCAACACTAAGAGGTAATACTAGGGGTATAAAAGGGGCTTCACCATTAGTGCATTGGGTGCACTTTTTGGGTAGTTATTAGGCACACACAAAGCTCTACTTCTCTGCAAATAGTTTATGTTTAAACTTCCAAACACACAACTGTTCAGAGCATCAGCAAATGACTTCAAAATTCTTGGCATAGGTTCAGATGTGGTTATTTGAATTGATGCAGATGCATATGAGTGATTATGGTTTTTTGGGTTATTTCCCGGTAATGATAATTGAAATATAGTTGTTTTAAATTTATGTTTTCAAGAAGTGTGTCAGAATTGCAAATTCAACTGAGAAAACTTTCATTCTGAGTATTTGAATTCTAAAACAGCACCAACGTTAGCATGCATCAGTCAAATCCCACAAATGTATCAAAATTCAGCTTCGAAACAGTTAGGATATCCACTTTTGTTCCTTCAGAACAAATTGGTTATCCAATTCTGAAATTCTCACTCATCACACTTGGAATACTGTGTCCAATTCTGGGCATCACAATTTAAGAAGGATGTTGACAAGCTGGAACGTGTGCAGAGGAGGGTGACCAAGTTGATCAAGGGTCTGGAAACTAAGCCTTATGGGGAGTGTTTGAAGGAGCTGGGTATGTTTAGCCTGGAAAAGAGGAGGCTGAGAGGAGATATGACAGCTAACTTCAAATATCTTAAGGGTTGTCACGTGGAGGAGGGAGTATGCTTGTTGTCCCCTGCTCTGGAGGGTGGGACTCAAACCAATGGCTTCATGTTTCAAGAAAGGAGATTCTGGCTAGACATTCGGAAAAACTTTCTGAAAGTAAGAGCTGTTCAGCAATGAACAGACTCTCACAAGAGGTGGTGGACTCTCCTTCCTTGGAGGTTTTTAAACAGAGGTTGAATGGCCATCTGTCATGGATGCTTTAGTTGAGATTTCTGCATTGCAAGGGCTTGGACTAGATGACCCTTGGGGTCCCTTCCAACTCTAAGGTTCTATGTGTTATGTACTGAAGTTCTCACCCTGGGCCAGCAGGGGGATACTGTAGATAGTTTTCACTCAGGTCCACACATGCAAATAAGGGATTGAAAGTGACGTTCAGTGATTGGATAGTTACAGAAAGTGGTTACAGTTGTGTTGTAGTGGAGCTTTATATAAGCAGGCTGGCTGAACCCTTCAGTTCAGTTCTGTTCTGACCTGTGAATAAACAAGAGCTGTTTGAAGAATCGCTTTGTTGTCTGATATGTTCACCCACAACTTAACACTATGATTCTATGAAAGTAAGCTGTCAAACAAATATTTGACTTGCAGGACCAGGCATTGGGCTCCCCCATCCCAACCCATGCAAATAAGAGACCAATGAGGCTGGTTTTGGGGTCAAAACACACCACAACTTTATTGAATACAGTGGTACCTCGGGTTACAGATACTTCAGGTTACAGACTCCGCTAACCCAGAGATAGTACCTCGGGTTAAGAACTTTGCTTCAGGATGAGAACAGAAATTGCGCGGTGGTGCAGAGGCAGTGGGAGGCCCCATTAGCTAAAGTGGTACCTCAGGTTAAGAACAGTTTCAGGTTAAGTATGGACCTCCAGAATGAATTAAGTTCTTAAGTTTGGCTTGGGCATGGGGCAATCAAAATACTTCCAGCCCAACTACTGGAAGTGATGCGTGGCCAATCCAGACGGGGGGTTCCTAAGATTTACATTAAATAGGATGACCCCTGCAGGTACCGCCATCTGGGAGAGTGCCTTCGGGCCTGGCCCCCACCTGGGCATGCAGACATGGCCACTCCCCCTGGATCCCTTTAACGGGATACCCCAGCGTTTGGAAGGGCAGATGGAGACTACAACCTCCACTCCATCCAAAACAAAGGATTGGCCCATGCCCAACCAGTTGTGATGATTGCTATGAGGTAGGCAAAACCACTGGGTCAGTACCAATTAGCCTGGTGGGCAAATTCCTACCCGGCTCCCTTAAAGAACAGCAACCACCATAACCATAGCAAAGTCATTGACTATAAGCTTTAATAATAATAATAATAATAATAATAATAATAATAATAATAATTTATTATTTATACCCCGCCCATCTGGCTGAGTTTCCCCAGCCACTCTGGGCTGCTCCCAATCAAGTGTTAAAAACAGTACAGTGTTACATATTAAAAACTTCCCTGAACAGGGCTGCCAAGGGTGGGTGGGCAGGGGGGAAAAGCTGGCGAAGGAACAAACAGGTATTGCCCCAGGTGTGAGTTGCTTAAATGGGCAAGGGGTGGATCCAAGGGAAGCCTACCTGCTCCATTGGCTCTGCCCTCTGGCACAGCCCAAGTCCCCAGCCTGTATCCCTGTTAGCCAAAGCTGGGTGGAGGCCAGGATCCAGCTAACATTATTGTTCATATTATCATGCCATTAACAAAAATGATACTTTACTGAATAACATAACCATGCTGTCTTCATGGGTATATCCTTTCCCAAAATTTACTCAGAACAAACTTCAATGAGGGCAAATAAATCTTGCACACTTTTGGAAAAAGTACCTGTTTGGGACATATAATTTGCTCTAATATCAAACAATAATGCCTATCCACTAGGCAATGGAAGGAGCGAGATAAAAAGTATTTTGAGGAATAAATATGACCAGTAGGAAAGCACTTATTCTGAATTATTTTTTATTTATAAAAAGTATTTCTATAGTGCCACGTCATAAAATATCAAGGCAGTGATCCTGATTAATTGCCTGTCCAACAACTTAAACAATTTGCAATAAACAGTTCGTTTATATTTACTTTCTACATCATGACTAGTCTGGCTTTCCTAGAGCAGCACCCATTTCCTCTTTAACACATAAGCTTTCCAGTCTCACTTCCACCTTTTCAAATAATATTGTACAAGGGTCATTGAACCAAGTGAGGTCTAGACCAGAGCTTTCAGCAGTCAACAAACAAGAGCACACCCTTTTCCCTACGGTACATGGCATGTTGGAACCTAGACTGCTATCACCTGAACTGCTGAATTGCAGAAACTGCCCTGACTCATCAGCAAAGCGTTCCTTCCTTCACGTATAGTGAGTGACCTCTGCACCAAAGTGGCTTCTGAACCAATCAAAAGCATTCATTCATTATTTTAAAGGAAGAAGAGATTTTGGGCCTCAAGGAGCACTCTATAAACTCTTAATGCTATCATGTGCAATAGGAAGCAGCAGTTTATGCATGCAATAAAACTTACTATATGGGGCACATATACATATATAGGGGGAGGGTGTTATTGTATGGTTTTTCTTTTTATTATGTACTTTATCATGTGATTATTATGTTTATATTATTATGTATTTTTATTTTGTATTTTTATGCTGTGAACTTCCCTGAGTTCTACAGATGAAGGGAAGCATACAGATTTAATAAATAAATTAAATGAATGAATATTCACAGTAAAGCCAGTAGTAATTCAACACTGTTAAAACTGCCACTGCAGTGAGTATACTTCATATGTTAACCTTCAGCACCGATGCTTTCTATCTGCAGAAAAAACAAGAGAGGTTTCTAAACAGTTTTGATCAACAAACATTTAAATCCCTTCTTTGTTAGGTCTATCGGCTTGGTGGCATTTCCAAGCTTATTGAGCTTCTCCGCAGCCCAGATGAGAACGTGCAACAGGCTGCAGCTGGGGCCCTCCGAAACTTAGTTTTCAGAAATCCAACCAACAAGCTAGAAACCCGCCGTCAGAATGGAATTCGAGAATGTGTCAGCCTCCTGAGAAGGACTGGGAGCACAGAGATACAGAAGCAGCTGACAGGTACCTCCACCCTTTCATAACAATGTTGGAGCAACTGGAACAGTAAATCACTAATACGAATTAGTGCATAAATATTGGGTTGTGTCCAACAAAAGTGTCCCATTAGAGCAAAGATTTATACCTTCACAATGGAACTTCCTCCATCTCTTCACTCTGTGTGCTCTCTGTGCTCCCCGCCAAACCCTGAACAGATTGGGGACAGAAGAGGAAGTCTTGTTGTGTGGGTGGAAGCCCTCAATATAGGAAACCTAAAATTGACTAAACTTCAATATATTTGTATACAGTGTTACCTTGGTTTACAAAGTTAATCCGTTCCAGAAGTCCATTCTTAAACTGAGGCATGCTTTCCCTAATGAGGCCTCCCACCGCCGGTGCCCTTCCACTGTTTGGATTCTGTCCTTAGACCGAGGTAAAGTTCGCAAACTGGAACACTACTTCCGGTTTTGCGGAGTTCATAAACCGAATAGTTCATAAACAGGACTGTTCGTAAACTGAGGTACCACTGTATTGGAAAACCTCAGTATTGGTGCTTTTTCATTTAATGCAGCAAGTGGAAGAGAAGTTGGAATTTAATAAAGAAACACTACCAGTTTGTTAAAAGGAAAGACAATCTTCTAGATTGATATTTTGGTTCCCTGGTTTTTTTCTTCCCTATCCCAGTAACACACCAGAACGGAAATAAAGCTACAGTGGTGCCTCGCAAGACGAAATTAATTCGTTCCACGAGTTTTGTCGTTTTGCGCTTTTTTTCGTCTTGCGAAGCACGGTGTCAGGAAAGTTTTGGAAAAGCTCCAAAAATCACCAAAGTCTTTAAAAACCTCAAAAAAGGCTACCACACCGCGTTCTATGAGTTGCTCCTCGAAGTCAAGTTGCAACTGTATTAACGGTGTTAAGAAAAAGGAAACAAACTTGCAAGACGTTTCCGTCTTGCGAAGCAAGCCCATAGCGAAAATCGTCTTGCGAAGCAGCTCAAAAAACAAAAAACCCTTTCTTCTAGTGAGTGTTTTGTCTTGCAAGGCATTCGTCTTGCGAGGTACCACTGTATGTGGGATCAGAGATTTCAGGCCCAGTAGACATAGATTCCCAGTATCATTCATAAGCAGGCAGTGAGGCAGGTAGAATTTATTTTAACATGACTGTAGCTTGAATGCCTTCCATGAACATTTGGAGACTCACTTTCAGAATACCTATTAGTTTTACAGTTTCCTCTTGAATCCCTATTTAGGGAAATTTTTAATGTCTGAAATTTTATTCTGTTTTTAATGTTCTGCTGGGAGCCACCCAGAGTGGCTGGGGAATCCCAGCCAGATGGGCGGGTATAAATAATAAAATTATTATTATTATTATTATTATTATGAATCCAAATGAGAATGACAGGAAGCTATAGCAATGTGTCTCATGTATTTGCTTTCCAGGATTGCTCTGGAACTTATCGTCCACAGATGAACTGAAAGAAGATTTAATACATGAAGCTCTTCCTGTTCTGACTGATCGTGTTATTATTCCTTTCTCTGGCTGGTCTGATGGTGTTAGTACTAGATCAAGAGAAATTATTGACCCAGAGGTATTCTTCAATGCCACTGGCTGTCTGAGGTAGGTCAGCAGACATATTAATATTTTGATCATATTGAAAAAACTGAGATGCATTCTGCTTGTCTGGCAAATATTCTCAAAAAGGCCCTTTTGCATTTTTGTTATGTATGTAATTTAGAATGTTGATATACTGTCTTCTATCAATGATTTCAAGTCAGTATACAAAAATTAAAGCAACAAAACAAATGATGCATGAAAGTGCAATTAATAGTCCAATTTTAAGAAACAAAGAATAGCCATATTGATCAACAATAAACTCTCAGAAATTGTCTACAATTGGGACAACCCCAAAAGTCGCTAGAATGTTGCAAGCATTTCACATTCCAGCAGTGGAATTTGAAGTTTTAAAATTTAAGATAAAAGAATTTTTTTAACGCTTGGGTGAATTGAAAGGTTTTTGCTTGTCACTTAAAATTCAATATATACCATGCTGAGTAGAGCAATCCATTGTAGAGCTCCATGTCTGAAAAAAACTTGGAATTGTAAGCTAAAATTCCAATGAAAGTGGTATTTCGAGAAGGTCATTGATTCACTGCTTTTGGTTCCCTATTCTAGTAACAAACCAGAATGTAAATAGAGCTATAGAGGGACTGGACTCAGAGATTTCAGGCCCAGTAGATGCAGATTCCCAGTATCATTGATAAGCATGTGAGGTGTGGTAGTTTGAGCATAAAGCTATTTTGGGTTGTAAAGGTTAAAAGGTTAAGTGCCAGCCTTTAAATTGACAGACAGTGAAGTTCCTTTAAGTTTGCATCAAGCACTGTCCGATTCGGCACCAAATGAAGCTTCTCAACCATTCTCATTGGAGTCATCTAGATGTATTTTTGTTGTATGCATAAAGACTGGAGGCGCAGGTGCCAGGTGTGTGCTGGCACTCTGACCAAACGTTCTTCACCTGCATGTTAAAAAACACACAAACCTTCTGCTTGCTCCTCATCGAATTTTAATGACTGCTTCTGGCAATGAATTGCCCTCCATATTGGTTTTCTTCATTAGATTCCCTAGTCCTCTACAACCACCCCTTTTAAACTGTAGGAAGTCTCTTAGTTGGCATGCAATAGTTTTATTCATGCTTAGGAAAAGCTATCAAACTCCTTGGCATGAATGTATTAGTCCAGACTTGCAGTTTCTCTTACTGATCTCCTGCAATGCTCGGCATATGAGAATCACTGAATGAGCCAATGGAACAGCTACACAATTAGAAGTTCACCCTAAGGGGATTGAGCAGCAGCAGTTCACGCCTCAAGCACACACATGAACTAAAAGTACCATTGTTTGCTGAAATGAAAAAGATGAACTGCATCAGCGACTGCAGCTTTCTTGGTCCAGGGGTCTAACAAGCTGATATAAGCAGCTTGTAAACTCACTGTACAATAGTAAATTATTTCCATTCTTGCTTAGGTAGATAAAATGACTCAGTGCAAAATGGAAGCATTCCAAGCTCCATATCTTCAAACCTTTGGGAGTCTGAAGGGAAAACAGTAAAAATAGCTCCATAGTGATCTTAAAACTAGTTAGAGCTTGTTTGTGTATCAGAAATGGTCTCTATTAAAAAAAAATCTCAGCATCTTGACACAGTATTGTGAAGTAAGCCTCATGTGAGAAAAACCAGTGTCTTGAAGACGTTAGCTGTAACCATCCAAACAGCACTATTTCCTTTGATCAAACAAAATATTTGCATTTGCCCTCAAACATTTTGAAATATTGTTTCATCTTAATAGTTGTGTTATGAAACTTGGCAGGCATCAGACTTTTTTTTTTTAAATAATTTTTATTAACCAGCCAATCAAATCAAATTAAATCACATCACATAAATTCCGAATTACAAAGCCGAATTTTAAATTTTGTTGGGGGGACGCATATTTCAAGATCTGAAGGGGGATTCTGATCATCTTCTTGCTACTGCGTTAATGTCCAAATCAGTCCAAATCAGTCCAAACAAAGTTCATAATTCTATCCAATCTTATCTTGCTGTTTCCACATCTCATCTTGTTTATATATTTTCTCTTTTTTCTTTATGATCTCTTCTGATAGTCTCCTTAAGCCGATAAACACCAATAATAATAATAATCCTGTGTGAATTTTCCGTTCTTCCATTCCTCAAATCGAGATGGTTTCCATATATCATCTCCTTCATAGATGACATCGCTCTTTCCATCTCACAAAGCTGTCGCTCTTAAGTCCCTCTGAGGAGTTTCACCCACAATATATAAACAGCTCTATTTCTCTCTTTCTCCTCCCAGACTCAAGACCTCCGACAGAACTTCCCAATATGGTGACGGCATTTTTAACTGCGTCATTCCCAAGCTCTCATACATTCCTCGCTCTTCTTAAAACATGCTTTGGTTCAAAAGTTTATCTCCACACAGCCTTAAATCCACAGCTTAAGTCCTTAAAACGACATTTCTGACTTGTGACTCGTGAGGGGAGGGGATTCTTGTTAATCTCATAAGAAAAGAGGGGTTTTTTTCCCCCTCCCCCATCAGTCATTTGCCATACCGTGTCTTGGCGTATCTTCTCATGTTTATTCTTGTCTTGTTTTATCAGAGATCTCTTCTATAGCAGTCTTTACTCCCCTCCTTCCTTGAAATATGTGCATTCCTTCATCCAAATTGTTTTCTTTTGAAGTTCTAGCAGCTAGTGGCGCGAATCAGGGACGGCATCCAGGAGTGCCGGAATCCCACAGGAGGGCTTTGTGCCTAGTGCCCCCATCCCTACAAGTTTGGGGGTGGTATAGGGCACAGCAGGCAAAGGCAGTCCCCCCACCGTCCGGGGGGGGGGTTAGGGAGGCTAATTACTCCCATCATAGCCTCCAAATTACCTCGTGTGGGTCGGAGAGATGTTATTGTCAGCCATCTTCCGATGCGCCGGCAGGCATCAGACTTAATGGTAGAGTAACTGAGCAAAAGGAGATGAGTTTGAGCTATTGAAAGGGGAAAGTTCTCAGACTCCCTTGCAACCCCTGGAAAACCAATCAGAATTGTTAAATTAAGTACAGTGGTACCTTGGTTCTCAAACTTAATCCGTTCCGAAAGTCCGTTCCAAAACCAAAGCATTCCAAAACCAAGGCACGCTTTCCCATAGAAAGTAATGCAAAATGGATTAATCTGTTCCAGACTTTTAAAAACAACCCCTAAAACAGCAGTTATAACATGGATTTTACTATATAATGAGACCATTGATCCATAAAATGAAAGCAATAATCAATGTACTGTACTATAAAATAAATAAGACAGTATTGTAGATGATAAAAAAATTTTTTTTTTTTTAAATCCTTACCTGCACTGATGATAGTCATTGTTTGGATGGAGGGCTTTTATCCATTTCCTTAGTCACACAATCAATCAGTAGCTGAACTGGGTTCCACACAGTCACAAATACAACTTAACTGAAAAAGCCTCAAAAACAAAAACGCAAAATAAATAGCAAAAACAAAAGTGCCAAACTTAATCCATTCCAGAAATCTGTTTGACTTTCAAAATGTTCGAAAACCAAGGTGCCGCTTCTGATTGGTGCAGGTGCCCCAAAAACAATAGCCAACAGCCGCATCGGATGTTTGGCTTCCGAAAAACATTCAAAAACCAGAACAGTTACTTCTGGGTTTTTGGCATTTGAGAACCAAGGTGTTTGAGTACCAAGGCATTTAAGAACCAAGGTACCACTGTACTTGGATTAATGAGCTTTCAGACATTATATTCACCCCTTAAAAACATTATTTTTGAATAGTTATTTAAATGATTAGAATCAGCTAATATTAAATCACCCTGTTTCTCTCAGCATATGCAACTTTTGGGACCAAGCTAGACCCAATGCTAAATGCATTATTAGAAACCCTGGCTGTGTACACTCTCCCTTTTACTTTGCACCCAGTGTGCTCCCACCACTGGTTTTGGAAGCAGCATACATTCCACATTAGCCATAATCCATATCTATCCTGTATCTATCCTGCCATTCTTTATGAAATACAGCATTTTGATGTGTCATCCCCCCCAAATAATATTTAATCCAAATTGAGCAAAAGAAAGACTGAGATGTGTTTTAAGCCAGTAATATGTACACAGCCGATATTGGGCTTAAAAAGAAAAAGAAAAATTAATAGTAGATATTGCAGATGATTTTCATTGAGGACTACAGCATGTGGGGAGGGGAGGTTTAACCATTTATTCCCCAGCTGTGATCCCAGCTATTAGCTTTAGAAAGAAAGCTGCCATGAAGCTAATAGTTGTGCTTAGGAGCAGATCTATTTTGTGGAATAGGTCGGCGATATATTCCACATGCTCTCTGTATAGGAGAATTTCACCCTCATTGAATCAAAGAGAACTAGAGAGAGATTGGTGAGCACAGGACAAGAGTAACTGAGGTGCCTGACTCATCTGATTACTTCTCCCTTTGATTTATAAAATGTCTCTTCCCTGTAGGAACCTGAGTTCTGCAGATGTTGGACGTCAAACCATGAGGAACCACCCTGGACTGATTGACTCTGTAATGGCTTATTCTCAGAACTGTGTGGCTGCCAACCGTCCAGATGACAAGGTACAAGTCAGACGTAGAGTAATGTTTGTTCATCAGCTGATATAACTCTTGTTAACATTGCCAGAATTGTAAACCCAGAATTATTTTTACAGCAATGTCTTTTTTTAAAGAATCCTGCCCTGTGTAAAGTATTTATGCACTGACAACTGAGAGAAGTGACTGGTTATCTCGTTTTCTTTGTTTTAGTCTGTGGAGAACTGCATCTGTATCCTTCACAATCTGTCCTACCGCCTTGATGCTGAGGTGCCTAATAAATACACGCAGCTCAACCACATGGCCAGGAACAGTTACACAGACAAGACCCTGACTGGCTGCTTCAACAACAGAGGTGGAAAACTGGAGGTGAGATTTGGTGCATAGAGCTACATCATTGCCTTGTGTTAAAGGCAACTTTGGATGATGATTATTTCAATTTCTTGCCCGCCTTTCACCATAAAGTCCCAGGGTGGGTTTCAGCAATTCAAAAATGCAATATTCAAAAACAGTTTAATATTAGTTTTGTGTAATAAATAAGTAAACTGGGGTTCTTTTGCAAAACATGGGTTAAAAAGGGGGTTCTTTTATAAAACTTCAGCTTCTTAGATATTTTAAATATTCTTATTTACCCTTAGTATGATGACTATGACCTACCTCTTCCTGAAGAGGACTATAAACCCAGAGGGTCCAGCTGGTTGTACCATTCAGATGCCATCCGCACATATCTGTCTCTGATGGACCAGAGCAAGAAAGATGCTACCCTGGAGGCTTGTGCTGGAGCCCTGCAAAATCTGACTGCAAGCAGAGGACTGGTAAATGCATTATTTTGCCCTCCACATCTGGTTAGACATCTGGAAAAGCACTTTGTTAACTGATGATAGTAGACACTCTGTGTGTGATGTATGCTGGCTACCACCCCAATACTCTAGAAATAAGCAATGCCTAATTATTTACTTTTCTAGATGTCAAATGCAATGAGCCAGTTGATTGGTCTAAAGGAGAAAGGTTTGCCCCGTATAGCACGCCTTCTGCAGTCCAATAATGCTGAAGTAGTTCGCTCTGGAACATCCTTGCTGAGCAATATGTCTCGACACCCTATTCTACACAAAACAATGGGTAGGCACCATTTTGTATTCTACCTATTTTCCTTTCTTTACATTCACACGCTTTTCTTCATATATGTCGTTTCTTTTCCAAAGTCCCACTCTGCTAAATGATCAGAGTGTTTAAATCTCTTCTATCACAATACAGTGGTACCTCGGGTTAAGTACTTAATTTGTTCCAGAGGTCCGTTCTTAACCTGAAACTGTTCTTAACCTGAAGCACCACTTTAGCTAATGGGGCCTCCTGCTGCCGCCGCGCCTCTGGAGCACGATTTCTGTTCTCATCTTGAAGCAAAGTTCTTAACCTGAGGTACTATTTCTTGGTTAGCGGAGTCTGCAACCTGAAGCGTATGTAACCAGAGGTACCATTGTAAAGTGTTCATCGGTGAGAAGCTGGTTCAACATTTTTCTGTTCTCATCCAGTTTTGTGCTTTCATGTTTGTTCAAGATCAGCAGGTCTATCTAATGATCTAAAAAGCAACTGAGAATAAGCAAAGAATTATTTACCCTCCGGATGATGCTATCTCTCTCATGTAAAATGCTGTTGGTTGGGGTTTGGAGGGGGGCAGGTGTGTTAGGTTAGGCTTGGTACCCACAGTCACAGCTACATGAACTTCATCACTACCTGAAGCTGATCTGCTGTGGCTCTTCCCACCTGATAATTTTGCTTTTTAGCAAAAGTGGGATCTGTTGCTACAACTCCCAAGGATGACTAATATTCCCCTTATGCCCGATTGTAGACCTTATTGAGTAATGCTTATTTAGTTTCAGTAACCCTTTTGAGTTTTAGACAACTCAATAGCTTTTTTGAGTTGTATTTAATGGTAATCTGTTTCTGCCCTTCAGCTAATCAGGTGCTCCCAGATGTGACCCGTCTCCTGGCCCTCCAGGCTCCAGGTTCCAGCAACTATGGGGACATTATGACATCTGCTTGCTACACACTGAGGAACCTAATCATGTCCAACCCACAAATGGCCAAGCCCTACCTGACAGGCAGCTTGATAAATAATGTTGTAGGCCTATGCCGTAATGGGTGAGTAATGGTGACAAAAAGTGGGCATATGAGAGATTTGAACCATGATTTGAATATATCCCTTTCTTTGCATACCATATATATGTGCAGCTTAGAACTTTTCCATTTCTAATTTATTTATTGCAGAACACTGACACCTCACCATAAGCATTTTTAAAAGCTGTGGTTAGTGTGAGTCTCAGATACTGAGTTTGTTTTCCTAAACCACTGATGGGAAACCTGTGGTCCTCTTGTTGTTATTTGATCCCAGTTTCCATCAGGCCCAGCCAGCATGGCCATTAGTCAGGGCTTTGTAAAGCTCCTCAGCGCTGCCCTTAACTTTGAACCTGGCATACCTAGAGACTCATTAATACCATGGAATGGGGTTGGTGGTGGCTGCTGTCTACTGAATGGCATTTTAAACTTTGGCTATTGTAGTTTATTTTGTAAACTACATTCTGAAGATTTGCATGTAACACTAAACCAAGATTTAGCACTGCATGGATGAGCCAGAGGGAGGAGTACAGAAAGAAGAAATGCCATAGTACACCTGCAACAGCACATCAAACATGTCTTTCCCATATCGGTCTCTACAACCTCAGCAGATGCTGTAACTCTCCAGTGGTTTGAATTCATCCCCAAAGGCCCACTAAATCACATATTATTATTAATATTAATATTAAGAATAAGAATAAGAATAAGAATATATTTATATACCCATCTGGCTGTGTTTCCCCAGCCGCTCTGGGTGGCTTCCAACAAAATATTAAAATACAGTAGTCCATCAAATATTAAAAGCTTCCATAAACAGGGCTGCCTTCAGATGTCTTCTAAACGTGTGGTAGTTGTTTTTCTCTTTGACATCTGGTGGGAGGGCGTTCCACAGGGCGGGTGCCACTACTGAGAAGGCCCTCTGCCTGGTTCCCTGTAACTTGGCTTCTCACAGCGAGGGAACCGCCAGAAGGCACTTGGCGCTGGACCTCAGTGTCCGGCCAGAACAATAAGGGTGGAGACACTCCTTCAGGTATACAGGACCGAGGCCGTTTATATATATATTGTATATATAATACTACATAAATATACATATATTATATACCTATATATTTTATATTTTATATATCTGTTTAAATCTGTTTAAAACATAACAATAATTACAAAAAAAAACCTAGTCAATTTCCAAAGGCCTGTTGGAACAAGAAAGTCTTTACCTGCCAGCGGAAGAACAGCAAGAAAGTTGTTGTCATCCATCCTTTTCTGGAAAGCTCATTTGCCTTCTTTTCTTTCTGTAGATCTTATCCAAAAGCAGCTGAAGCTGCTCGGATGCTGTTGTCTGACCTATGGTCAAACAGGGAGCTCCAAACTATACTAAAACAGGTAAGAGAATAATGTGGTCTTTTTCACTATTTCTCATAAACAGCATGGCACTTGGACAGCCCCACTCACATAATAAAAGGTGTGGCTAGCCCTATGGTGAATGTCTCCTAAGATCATAGAAACAGTGTTTTTTTAACAAAAAGTTGTGATGGTAAACTGTTTTGGAAAGTAGAGCTGTCATTTTGTTTCATTTTTTGTATACAGAATTGTTTTAGAGGCGTCTCTTCTGGATGAAAAGGAATTACCTTTTCAGATATTCAATATAAATAATATATACTGTGACATATCTTTTTTAAAAAATGCAATGCATTTTCTAGTGCTTTGTTAGTTTTGCTCCTCTGGTCTGCTGATGGATGACAATTAAAAAGAAAAGAACAGAAAGATACACGTCGACTAATTGTGGACACAGAAGCAGAATATTCAGAAGCTTTGCAAAATGTTTTTGCATTTATATATGAGTTATTAAGTGAGGTTGCTAGAAATCTTCAGTTGAAACCACTCTCGTGCCTTAGAGAGTTTACATGTGCAACATATATAGTTTGTGAGTGCATCCACACATTTGCCTGAATTTGACTTCTCTCATGCTTATATCAAAACATCTGACTCCTCATAACATAATGGTTCTTCATCCAATTTATCCTTATGTGATCTACAACCTTCCATTCTGCAGCAAGGATATGATAGAAATATGATGGGATCCTTAACAGGAAGCACTCTCAGGACCCTTTCTTCAAGGTTCTAAGAAGATACCTTTCCTGCATGTTTGGCTTACAGGTAAACAACTGAATCAGACTTTCAAAGCTGGAGGGGGAAACCTTAGTCACATCTAGATTAGCCTCAATATGCAGGGCTGGTCAGTCATATCACTGCTGGGAGGTAGAGGGAGAGATGTGAGTTGATGGCCAGGTCGGTGTGGCACAAATAAACTGGTAGAAGGACTGAATTGGCTCCGCTGGTTTGTTTGCACCATGCCAACTTCACCATTGCCCTCACCCACAGCAGGTAAGCAGCAGCAATACAACCAACTGGATGACAGGGGAACACTCTCAGGCCACCACATCATCCACTGCTGGGTACAGGACTCAAGGGAAACCTCTTATCTCCCAATCCCAAAAAAGGTTGTACTTCCACGGGGTTATCAGTGGGTTAAGCTGCTGCCTTAAGAACTGGGACAAAGAGGGAGAAGTGAAGGATTATTTAGGGAGCATATAGCACCCTCCCATTCTGAGCGCACTGTGATCTGTGTGCAGCTATGAACTCATGGCTCAACAGAGGAGCAGCAGGAAGAAGACTTGGTTGAGTCGTGTCCTATCAGGGGTGCCAAGTTGAATAAAATATTGTGGGGCCCCAGAGATAAGCCTCACCCTGCATAATTGATCACATGACACAGTGCACACACACCATTTGAATGGGAATGCCCATCAACTTTGTGGGGGCACGGTCCCCTCAAATACTTTATGGTGGGGCTGAAGCCCCTAGGATTTGACTCCTATGTGTGTTATGTATTCCACAGGTACAACTGCGCATTAAAGGCGCACAGGGGCATTTCTCAATATGTACATAGGGGAAATGACTAATTCTGCAGTCTTTTTCTTTTTCTTTCAGACTTTGTGACTCTTTTCTGCCTAGAGGCCTCTGCCGTCAAGAAATTGTTTGGACATTAACATACACACAGAGAGAATGTTGCCAGATTTCAAGACACTTGTAAAACTAGGTACAAAAGCTGTATTGCCTGGCATATCTTAAAATGTTCTAATGGCTGTTTTAAATATTTCTTTCATTTTTTCTGGGGATAGGCTGGGAGGCTGGAGGTTAATGGTACTTGATGTCAATTGTTAGTATTTTTAAAAACAAACAAACGGGGGCTTACAATTTCGAGAGGTACAATGAATAAGTTAGACACCTACCTACCAACTGATGCTATGTTAGGAAACTTTTAAGGAGGTAGCACCTATGTATGTATATATTTAGTGGGTGTACGTATACAGTGGTGCCCCGCAAGACGAATGCCTCGCAAGACGGAAAAACCGCTAGACGAAAGGGTTTTCCGTTTTGAAGTTGCTTCGCAGGACGAATTCCCCTATGGGCTTGCTTCGCAAGACGAAAATACCTTGCGAGTCTTGAGTTTTTTTTTTCGCTTTTCCCCCCCTTTATCTAATCTGCTAAGCCTTTAATAGCCTTTAATAGCCTTTTAGCAGCTAATCCCCTAAGCCTTTAAGCCTTTAATAGCCGCTAAACAGCTGATAGCGCTAATAGCGCTAATCCGTCAATGGGCTTGCTTCGCAAGACGAAAAAACCGCTAGACGAAGACTCTCGTGGAACGGATTAATTTCGTCTTGCGAGGCACCACTGTATAGAGTGGGAGAAGTGGAATTCCAGTGTCACCAAAGGCATTTGGGTGCCATTCAGTGCATAACAGTGCAATTCAATGTTTGTTTATTTGGAAAACTGAGTTCACTGGGGATTACTCCCATGAAAATGTGCACAGGATTGCACAACCTAAAGGGTTGGGAGTCAGCCCCATTGAACATAGTGTGGCTTCCTTCTTAATAACCATGCACAGGATAGTGCTTTAAGTCCTTTTTATTCCTCATTTTCAACAAATTATGTAAAATTACTAATACCTTATGTGTTTCTTTCTTTGTCAGTGGTCATTCTACATAGATAATTAGTATAGAGCTCCTGTTTTAGATTGCTGAAATTATTTCTCCCTAAACTTTACTGACATCACAGAGTTTCTTCTGCATTCATCTTTTTTTGGGGGGGGGGTGAGGGTGTGGGCACCAGTTCTGCTTTCGTATTCCATTTTATGGCTAAGCATTTTTCTCCCTATAGGTCACTTAGTTTCCAAATCCCAAGAAGCAAATTCATGTCAGATAAATTTCTCCTGAATTGATTCTTGATAGATTTTGAAAACTTTATTTTTATACTATATATAAGTAATGGATTGTGTGGAAGACCCCCAAGGTCTTACTAAGGATATAATCTACCACAAGCTTCTATGTGGCTTTTCAAAAATATTTGCTTTACCAAAGTCGGATTCTTGTTATTTCATAAATCCGTCAGCTGAACAAGTCTGTCGATATATACTCAGAAAAAAGAAAAATAGACATGATCTACTCTTTGAGAATTCCTGTCATGTTCACTCAGTAGCACAAACAATTTCCTCTCACCCAATGGAACTTTCCTCTCCTCTCCTCTCCTCTGCCCTGTGGGCCCCCAAGCCCCCTTCACAGGGTCTTCCAGCCCTCTGAAGTAGATTCTGAAGATGCGGGGGGAGGACATAGAATTGGATTGGGGGTGAAGAGAAAAGGAAAGGGAAACGCTCCATTGTGAGAGCAGCAGTCTTCTGACTTCACTTTGTACCCAGAGCCTTCTCCCAAGGCTCATGAGTAGGAACCAAAATGAAATTACAGTGTTTAACAAGTAGCTATGAAATTGAACCGTTTCTTGTCAGACCATTTTAGAAGCTTGGGAGGAAAGGGGTGGTGGTTTTCATTATTTTTAAAAAAAGAAATATGTTCAAGCAGTTTCTGCTGGATCTAAAATGGATTTGCCCTATGCTTTTCAACTACCATTTCAGTCTTCACACCTCAGAGGCATCCTGTCATAGGTTTTTGTACATTTTTCAGTGGTGTGTTGTAATACTCCTGGGGTGGTTATGGCATTTTGTAGAGGAGCTTTAGCTTGGGCAAATGGTGCGTCGTTATTCAGTGATAAAAGTACATTTATGAAAGCAAGTTGCTGTGTCATTCCAAATAAACGACAAAAAGATAAGTTAATTCAAAGAAGTTGAGGGCGGGAAAGTTTCCTGTTCTCTCCTTCTCCCTGCAGATATTTGCAGTCTCCAGGTGGGGAACTCTCCAGAGGATGGGGGACTCTCCTGCACATTGTAGAATGACGTGCAGGGGGAAAGGAGCCATCAGGCAGCTGAGAGAGCACAGACCTAGGGAAGAAGTGAAGTCTTGGAAAGGAGGACTGGGACAAGGAGTGGTACAGAATAATGGAGAGGAGTTGAGAGGAGTGGAGCTGAGAGGGAGGAATCTAAGAGGAGAAAGAAACTAGGAAAGAGAATGGGCAGACAGGAAGGTTGCACATGGCCAGGAACTGTAGAAATGAACAGTGTTGCAATTTACCTTTGAATGTACCAATCAAATGTATCGGCAGTAGGTTTCTGGATTACATGTGCTTTATCTCATCTTCATCAGTTTGATTGGTTCCAAGTTTTCAGAGGACCCTCAGCAAAATCAACTCCCTCCTAACTAACAGGGACAAGATGCTGATGTTTAATTTCCCACAATGCCTATGTTGCATCACTCCATGGTATTGTGGGAAATGTAAAAGTGGTGCCCAGTGTTGATTTAGAGTCCTGCCTGCTGGGGGGGGGTAGATGAGGGGGCAGGCACAGGTCACATGTCATTAGTAGGCCCTAGCAGAGTCAGGTCCCAAGAATTGCTGTGTGGTGATGCCAGACCTGGTCATGAACTACATTTTTAACATTTGATATTTCATAACGACAAGCTACTAGTAGTCTTAATAGTGTTCATATATGTAAGCATAAAGTGTGTGTCTACACATACACCAGATTTGTTAACAGAATGATTAGCAGAATGATTATCACTGAGTTAATAGAAGGCTTTGGCACAACTAGTCAGTTATCAGATAATCAAGAACTACCTGTCATCTGCACTTGCCCTCCATAAACCAGTTTTGTCAATGTTTGGCATGTAGTAAGAGAACCCTTACTACTGGTATTGTTATGCTGTTTAGCAAGGCAAATTGATCTTGAAGAGATCTACATGAGCAGTAATGTCAAATGCCCTACAATGGCTCCTGATCCCTGATCAGCCCTCTTCTCCTAACTTATTATCCAGAGAGAAATGGCTCCAGTGTATATATCATTTGCTAGCATGGAATGGATGGATAGAATATTATCTGCGAGGATGGGCTGAACATTTCTTTTGGCCCTGCCACATGAGAAGCAAGATGCAACAGGCTGGTGTTTGCATAGGATGTGAGTCACGTAAATAAATGCTAGAACCTGTTATGACCTCAAGATAGCAAAAAGTGCTTTCCTTATTAGGGCTTGCTTTGTTTTATGCATTCTAAAATGCTAGCCAAAGGATGTCTTGGATGTCCAATGCATCATTTCAGAAGGCTCATGGGCACAACTAGAAGAAATGAACTTTTGCAAGCTTACTCCTTGGTTGTATTAATTTACTACCTTTTATTACCACCCATATCACTAACCCAGCTATACAAAGTATTCTGTAATATATATGTACAAGAATCCCATGTCAACTTTGTTTTTTCCTGTACTGTATGTGTATTTGCTTCATTGGAACATCTGAAATCAATAAAGAGTTGGGAGATCTTTTAACTTTTCACCTTGGCTATTGTGCTTACTTTGCTTCTTTCTGCCACCAAATATATTGATAAATAAAGCAACTTACAAATAATTCAGTTTTCTTCATTCTGCAGTTAGTGGAAAACTGCCCTTTCTTCTAAAGATCTCAAAACATATTTCCTATTATGCGCCATCAGCTTTGTGCAGCTTTAATGAAAGACAGAAGCAGGAGGACTATGATGGTAGGTGAGGACATGCCTCAGTCTCACTATAGATCACAGCACTGCGTTTCTAGGAGCTGCTATCTATCCTGCTTCTCCATCAGGACATAAATACATTCTCACAAGCCAGTGGTGTATTTCAGCAACATGAACTCCTTAAGGAGGATGGTTATTCTTGGACTCCCAGCCTTGTGGATCAGCTCAAAAAAAAGACTGTTTTCTTAAGGACAGTGGATATTCTTAGAGTTGGACTAATTCAAAAACATGGAAGAACATGGGCATGTAAAAAGGTAAAAGAGTATTGGGAAATGATTTATAATGAACTGGGGGAAATGTTTAAAATTACTTTCCCCCTGCCCAAACCAGAGTCCTTTCTCTTGAAAGGAGAAATCCCCAAATGTCAGAAAAGGTTTTTTATGTATGCAGCAAGTGCAGCCCATGTTTTGTTAGTCCCAAAATGGAAAGTGAGTGAGGTCTCAACTAAAGAAGATTGGCAACTTAAGTTGACAGAATATGCACAACTTGCACATTTAACATATAGAATAAGAGAGCAAGAAAATACTTTTAAAGAAGATTGGAAAAAGTTTGTTGAGTATATGGAAAATAACTGTGTACAGCTGAAAACGCAGGCGGCATTAAGATAAGTTCAACAGAGTAAATAATTTTTGAAGGATGTAATAGTGGAGAACCCATTGGAATAGTTATTGTAAAATACGCAGGGAGGTAAGATATGCAAAATGAACCATGGAAAGAGAAGAAGGGAAGTCATTGGATATTTTAAAGTATGTAAACTGTTTATTTGAAATTATATAACAGAAAATTTAATAAAAAGTACATATAAAAACTAAAACTAAAACACGGAGGAATAGTTCTACACTCTCTTGGAGCAGTGAAGAGAAATCTAAATGATGAGCTGGAGGAGGGAGTCTGGAAGTAGCTGGCACCTCACCTAGCAATTTATTTTTGTCTGGTCAAAATGCTTGTCTTAGGGTTGCCCAATTGCTATCTAGAGAATGAGGATTTTCCATTTCAATGCACCAGTTAAGTGAGAAAGGAGATAGCTCCTGCCCATCCCTCTGCTTGTCATGGTCTCCACCCTCCTCCTCTGCCTGCAGTAAAGCAAACCCTCACTGCAGGCAGAAGGGTGGTCAGACAAATGGGCGAGAGCAGCCACAGTGATCTCATCTCACTCTGGATTGTGCACGTTTAAAGCAAAACACTTGCTCTTCAAGTTGCAATGTTGCGCTTTGGGCCTGACTTACATTTGGAGAACCCAAGGCCTGTGATATGGTATATCTGGTGATGATGGGAGACTGTTGGTTTCTTCCCAGGGCTGCCATTTAAATACAGCTTTACCAACATTGACTGATGCTACCAGTAGCATCAGTTGAAGATCTGCAATAGCTGCTCAGAGAAAAAAAGCTCCATATAGACACTTGCAAATGTTAACCACACTCCTTCATCTGAGCAGGGAGTGGTGGAAGGAATTAGATACACCATGATAAGAAACTGTAGCATTGGCATCTTTTGAGAAGGTGGTTTTATTTTTCCCTTACCAAACTGGCTTGCAGACAGGAGCAGCTTGTAGAGACATGACCAGATGAAACAACTGCATATGAAAACATAAATTAATGTAAGAAATGAATAGTCCTCTGCTCCTATTGGCTGCCCTGCTTTCCCGATTGCATCTGGTTTCACTCCAAGGATAGGAGGGGATAATAGGCCTGACGCTACACCAAAGCTTGGAACCTGCAGCTGCATGCCTGTTGCGGTGAAGCAGATGCCATGAGGATCTCACAGTTTCAAAGGGAGATGCAAGTGTGTTGACACAGCAGAGTGTTAGAAATCCCACCCCCCTTAAAAAAGAAACAACGTAGTTGCTACAGAAGCACTAGAGCCCAAGAGAAATTGGCTGGAATTTCAGACCAACCATAGGTCCCATACCTATGTAATGCAAAATTAAGTAATACAAAATGGCCAGGTATGCTTGCATCGTTTTCTAAGCTAGGCCCTTCTTGTGTCTTCTCTGTAAATTATACATCATCCCCAGGCTAAAACCATCTAATTGTCTTTCTTTCTTTCTTTCTTTCTTTCTTAGCAAAGGCATATGTTGGGTATTTTGTTTCATTTCTAAGTTGTTTCATTTTATACTTATATGCTGTTACAGAATTCCTTTGAACACCACCAAATTGCACCGGTTAATCCTTTGTCATATGATACAAAATGAAGCTTTGTGATTAAAAGTTTAGATCTAGAGTTTTTGAAGCATGCAGGTGCCTGGATTATATCATTGGAGGTTATTTTGCTTAACATCTAGTTCATATTCATATCAGATCTTCTCTTCCATGACAGCTTGAGTCTGACGCTTAATAATCAGATATCATTGCTTTGTTGGTGAGCTTTAGCACTGAAGCATGAAACTTTTAAATCCTTTCTAAGTGTCTGTATACAGCAAGTATGCTAGCCCTGACTGATATGGAGAAACATAGTTCATATTCACTTCTTGAACTAAATATTCAGCATAGGTCTCACTTTGTGTCAATGAATGTATCCATTTCATATTTTAAAAATATGGCTTGTATTATTGTGAATGTATTAGGAATTTGCAGAACAGATACCCTATAAAGATTTAGGCTACATTCCCATTACAGCTTTCTCTACATCCACTGCACTCCCACTGCTAGTTTCTGAAGCTGCATTCACATGGCATTAGCCAGAATGATCCTGGTAGCTCATTGACAAAGACTGCAGTTTGATGTGTTTTTCCCCTCAAACTCGCTTCAGTCCAACTACAAATCTGGATGTAGAGAAAGTGATAACACGAATATACCCTAACAGCCGTCACACACCCACAGGTGAATTTACGTGGACAGATGACAGCTTAATGAATAAGAGTTTGGTGGGGGGAATTGCAGCAGGGGGACCAAAAACATCATGCCCAGTGGGTGACATCATCATCACTCTCTCTCAGATGTGGGCAATGCTGCAAATACATCTTGAAATGCAATTGGGGGTGGGGGTGGGGAATGGCCTTGCTGTGTTCCAAGCTGCTAATAAGTACATACCCCTAGTGGCGTTTTTGCGAGTCACAACATGAATGGAGATTTCTCGACACTAGATAACTGCTCAAAGGTGATATGGCAGGATCTGTCATGTAGCATATCAAAGAAGCTGACACATCAGATCAGTTGGCTGAGGGGAGTGGTTAAACAAGATTCCTTAATTGAAATCTGCTATCTGGGACAGAGAAAAGCCATGCAGGCCCACCAGATGAACACAAGATATGACAGAAGAACATGTTTGAGGGACACCATCTGGTACTTTACAGGAAGTCATGGAGTGTGGAGATGTGCACAGAAAGGTATTGATAATAAAAGAAAATGGAAGTTTCCATGTACATATGTGATATTTCAGTCTGCTGTGCTGTTCTTTTGTTGTAATATGAACAGTTTAATAAAGATCATGTATTTTTTTTAAAAAAGGAATAAATTACTGTAATAGACCCTCTGAACCTTGAAATCCATTTATTTTAGTCTCTGTCCCAAAGAAATTCAACATGGGGGCTAAATACTAAATCTGCAATTTCCCATAGAAATAAATACTGGCTGCTCTTCTGTGTGCTGTGTTGATGTTATCCAGCGTATCTATTAGACATGGGCTGTCAAAAACAGCAATAAAGATGCCTAATCTTTTAATGTTTGCTTATGCCATCGGCTGCAGCAGAATGCACGTCACTCTGCCTCATTTTCCCTTTGTAAGCACAGGCAGGTACAAAGCTCTGCTGTTGTATGAAATTAAGTCACTTCATCATTTGAAATAAAGTCAAGATAGCCAAAGGCAAACCTTTTATAGCTCGCAGCAGATTCTCAGGAAAGTTTAAGCAGAGTGACATTTTTATACTTTGGAATGAAGTAATTGCCCACATAAATCATGGCTTCAAAACTTCAAAAAGCTACTGTAAAACTGGAATAGTAGTACCCAAGTAGAAAAGAATATGCCAACCAGATAGAAATCAGCACAATTGTGCCTAGCAGTTTCCTAAGAGGAGCTATCTATGGAGAATTCCATCTAATTCCCTATCATTCTTAGGCCACATTCACACCATATATTTAAAGCACCATGATACCACTTTAAATGGTCATGGCTTCCCCCAAATAATTCTGGGAGCTGTAGTTTGTTATGTGGCTTAACAGTCAATCTCTCTTCACAGGGAGCTCTGAGATTGTAGTTCAGAGTGGGCAATAGGGGTCTCCTAACAACTCTCAGCACCCTTAACAATCTACAGTTCCCAGAATGCTTTGGGGGAAGCCATAACTGTTTCAAGTTGTATCACAGTGCTTTAAATGTATGATGTAATTATAGCCTTAATCCTGTTGATGTTTTTATCCAGAAATAATAAAGAGCTGGAAGATGACCCCTTGAGCTTTGTTTCACACCACAGTTGCAGCTGAGGCCCTTTTATGGAGTAAAGACTTGCAGCCAGGTTGAAGCATTACACAACATCAAAGAGGCCAGAGATATGGAACATTTTACCATATTAAAAGTAAAGCCTAGAGGGCAGCGATGCAAATAAGGCTACCCTGGGATTTTGGTAAGATGCTGACATCTAGATTACAACTGCCAATCATCAGCTATAAAACTTATCAGCAGATATTGCTGACATTGTTGGAAGATACTAAATGCTGCAAGGTGTATCATATTATTCAGTGAATAAGTCAGTAGGGTGGTCTTCTCAACCTTCAAGCACACCTGGCAAAGCAATTCCCTGCTAATATTTATGGTTTACTCTGAATGGAGGGCAGATCAAAGCGAGATGATATGTGAA